TTTTCCCAATGGGCATCTCTAGCAGCTTTAAAAGTAATATCCCGGAAGGGATCAAAAGTTATGGTACTTTTCTTGAATCTTTTTAGCTACTATATCCCACATCTTCTTTGTATTCTTCGCCATTTTTTTTTCGCATATTATATCCCTAGTCCTTCAAAATTTTAGCCAATTCCTTTAAATTAGTTTTGTTGCCCAGTTGGTAGCTTCTTTCTTTACAGAATTCTAAAAATTGCTGCCATATTAAATGGTGTGTCCTTTTTGTGTTTTTTGGAACTGTGTTTGTAATTTCCACATCGATTTTTTGTAAAGATAATTGTCCAAATCTATCCATATTTTTCAAATTACCATTAAATTTACGATATAAACACTTAAAATGACGCTGTTTACATTTTAGTTGCCATATATCACTATAGTGATAAATGCAAAAATATTTTAAAAGGCACTCTATTTGACAATTAATAAAATCTGACGTATATGTCAAAATGTATGAACAATTTTTTTAACAAAATTCCATTAATTTAAAGATATGTAATAATTAATAATTGATATTTCGTAAACTAAATAACTTGTTTTTTATTATTTAAAAAAAACTGCATGTTAAAACTTAACACCATAAAATTGTAAACAAAAATCCAATATGGAGGCTAAAATTTAATCGCTGTTAAAAAGTTCTAGTGATTTAATCGTTTATTTAAACAAAATTTATTCGAAAATTCAAGGCCTTTTATTGGTTCATATTATAATGAGGGAAATAATCGCTGTTAAATAGTTCTAGTGATTTAATCGCTTATTTAAACGAAATTTATTCGAAAATTCAAGGCTTTTGATTGGTTCATATTATAATGAGGGAAATAATTTGCGTAATATTTTTTATTTAGCAGAAACCATTACTTTGTTTGTTGCCCATATGGTTATTATTAATAATGCAAATTTGGGCATAATAAATAACTATTTGTTTAGGCGATCTTTAAAAGTTTATTTATTATAAATTTTGAGTTTATTTTAATATTAACAAAAAATAAATGTTTATTTCTTTTTTACTCTACTCAAACTTCTGTCAGCTGCGTCAACTTATTGCCAAAATTTTCTGGCGTATCTACAGGGGAAAATACTGCTATGCAACATGATGCAGTTTCAATTATTCCTTCAAAATCGTTAATGTTGATTGCAGCCCATAATTTTGACACATTTTCATAATTTTCTTGTGAGCATTGAGCTAACCCAAAAATAAACAATTTTTTTACCCTGAGTCTTTAAATCGTTTAGCAGCTATTCCTTGCATGTACTCTTGTCGATGTTTTTCCAATTCCATATCTTCAGTTGATTGAATGGATAAACATTTTTCAAAACAATTTATTCCAAAAAAAATATCGACAAAATTTTTAAGTGAAATTTTCCTGCTCAAGTCGGGTTCGATAACTGCGGTTTTTAGTGGCTACTCTGATAACACTTGCTATTCCACAAGTGGTTTTTTGGCCAAGGTTAAAATTTGTTTGTATTTTTAAAAAGTCATCTACTGATAGTGGTTGCTTCTTCTTCCTTCCTTTGATTGAATCAGCGAAAGTAAATTAGTTTTTGATTTATTTTCTTTATTAATGTTTTGTTTTACTATGGTACTATAATGAAGAAATGACCTGTTGTTGAAGTTTTGATAGCTCCTTGTTTAGGTAATCCTCTTTCAATACCAGAAAAACAGGAACTATAACGTTTTTCGAAACACGGTCGTTTACCTACCTAAATTTTAAGAAGAAATAGATCTATTATGTATCTATACATTGGTCTCGATTATTTAAGGGATCTTATACTTACAGGAGGTTGAAGTTATATAAACTAACCACTAATATTCCTTTTCTTGGAGGTAAAATACCGTTTTTTGTAAAATTACCAATTTTAGGAGTTCTTGCAAGTTTACAAACATGACAATCACATTGAAAATGGGCATTAGATCTTGTAATTTTCTTAAGGGATCGCAATTCAGAGAAAATTGGCAGTTAATTGGCAGTTGTATGTTTTTTCGCTACACAGACCAAGTGGTAAATAATTATCGTGGACTTCGTAATCAAACAGGTTTTCTACTTTTTTTTTTTAAGTTTACCTATCATTACTAATTAAAGTAATTAAAGTAAAAATAAGAGTTTTGAAAGTCTTACGTTCTCTTAAAACCCCTGAATAAGACTTATTAAATCGAAAAAGTCAGATTAAGACCTAATTAAGTCGGAAAAAGTCTGAATAAGTCTTAGTAAGTCAGAATAATAGCAAGATTTGGGAGTCTTCTGGAAGAGTTAATAAGACTTTTATTAGAGAAATGTGCCGGCTAGTACGTCTCTGCGATTATTAAAAAATCCAAACAGGGAAGATCCATGCACCAGCTTTGCAAATTTTTAGAAAGCAACACTGAAAGAAATATATGTTTGTTTTAGCAATGTATTTGGTAGTCCATATATGAAACATAAAATATATTTACCTTAACCATTTTTATATTTAGTTTTAACATATTATGTTGCAATGATGCAAAAGCACAAACAGAGCACAAACCAGCACCACCCTTATCAGCAAAGATGTAAACCACCCACTACGTGGCATTTTAAAGTGGTGGGAATGGTCCGAGGTAAAACTACCCAGCAAACATGGTGACGTCATAATCACGGCATTTTTTGGTCACAAGTTACGTCATATTCACCCTTAACATCACGTCAAAATCACGTCTTTGAAACGGGCAAATGTCACAGACCGTTGACGTCATATTAGGACGTACAAATAACGTCATTTGAAGACGTCTATATGACGTAAGTACTGACGTCTTAAAGACGTACGACTTATACGCGTTACGATATTCCATTTGTTAATTATTAATATATCATATTTCTTACAAACAACATAGATTTAATAGTTAGACAATGTGCCTTATTTATCATAATCATTATTTACGAAATTAAAATTTGGCAACTATTGGTATGTTAATAACAAATAAATTAAATTTCAGAATATATTGTTAGTAAATAAAATTAATTCACAACAAATTTTTGTATTTATTATAAATAAAAACGTCTCAAATAAATATTTATTAATTATAAGGTATTTCAAAAGGCTTGATTTTGAACAGTGTAGGGTTAATAATTATTAACCCTACACTGTTCAAAATCAAGCCTTTTGAAATACCTTATCAGAATTAGTTAAGGAAAAATAAGGTAATATGCTTAAACGAGTATAGCAATTTACCTTCTCGTTTATTAGGTAGAAACTAATGCCTTAGTTCTATAGAATAGTGAATACATCATATATGATGTATTCACTATCTTCTAGATAAATATTCATACTTTACTTAATAAACTTGTCAAATACATTAAGTTTTAAAGTGACATTTGTATTCTCTAACCACTAAAGTCTATTAAATTTCAAGCTGGACTAAATGTAAACACAATCCTCCGAATCGACCAATAAGAGCTCACAATCCGAGTCACACCATCAGAATCGACCAATAGGAACGTCTGGGCGTTTTTGTGTGGTCCAGCTTGGATTTGAATAGACTTCAGTTATTTAAGTTTGGCAAAATTGAATAGGGAAAAGGCGATGATGTAAATGTGACATGTATCGTGCCTATTGAAATGATATAATAAAGTTGGTTTGTTCTGTGGTTATAATCAAGAACAAGTATTATCATAATATTCAGTTCTTACTCACTTAAGTTTTTATTATGGTTTGATGATTAATACAAATTAGGAAACATGTGGTTTTTAAGGTCGCCAATTAAAAAAAATAATCCAATATTTTTCCAAAAAACATTTCGATCTCTCGAAAACGGCTCTATGGTTTTCAAGTTTTAAAATTTGAAAAAAATCAAAATTTCCCTTTTAAACATTTTCCTAAAAATTTAAAATTTGCACAGTAGGATAAATTTAAAAAATGGTAAGATAAATTCTCACAGTAGTTCAAAATTAAAAAATGATGGGAACAATAATTATAAGAAAGAAGCATTAACAAACAAACAAATGTTAATATAAATAGAATAGAATAGAATAGATTTATTAGTCCAAAAAAGTATATATAAATATTCAAGATTAACAATGTACTAACAAACAAATATAAGAAAATTTGGTACAAATAAACAAATACAAGAAAAACATTTAGTTAAAAAAATCATCAACGCAGTAATCACATCTGTTTACAAGGTATGCTCTTAAGCAAGGTTTAAATTCCCTAAAACCAAGGTATTTTATTGTTTTTGGCAATTTATTATATAACGTTAAAGCAAAGTTTTGAATACTCCTGTAAACGGTGTGGGTCCTTGTTTGATTAATTAACACTAAATCTTTATTTCTAGTGAAGTAGGAATGCTGTCTATAGACAGTATACTAGTATTGTTAAACATAAAACTGTTTTTTTTTGTAAAAAATTAAAGTTTCAAAAATATAAAGATCTGGTAGTGTTAGTAGGTTATTTTTTACAAACGTTTGCCTGCATGATTCATTAAATTCCAACCTAAAAATAATTCTAACAATTTTTTTCTGAAAAATTAATAGATTTTTTTGTATGGGATGAATTACCCCAAAAAACTATGCCATATTTTAAATTGGAATAAACAAATGCATAATACACATTTAAGAGTGTCACTCTTGAAACAACAAATCTTAGATTAAGGATTAAGCATAGATACTTATTGATTTTTTTTAAACACTATCTGTTTGTTCCTTCCATAAAAATTTGTTGTCCAAAATAACACCCAAAAATTTAATTGAAGTACTCAACTTGATGGTACATTTATTGTTATTGGTAAACCCATACTCTTCAAATTGTATGTGCTGTGTTTTATCAACATTTAACTTAAGGCCATTATTTTGAAACCATTGAAATATATTTTTTTGTGTTAAATTAATATTAGTTATTAGATCATTTTTAGTAGAGGATTTAAAAATTGAAGTAGTATCAATATAACATTGCAGACAATTTACCTATATGTTTATATGAATAGGCAACATTGCACGCAATGTTGCACTCCAGCAATGTTACTTGTAATCTTGCTGCAACATTGCATGGAACTTAATGGCGCAGACATAGAGACATTGCAGCAAGGTTGGCTGCAATATTGCAACCTTGCCGTGCAATTTTACTGTAACGTTGCAAAAATATTGAGTGCTGTAGGGAAGGTGTCGGTCCACGTATCGCACGTTTATTGCGACAAAACCACAAGAATATCTGTCGTCAAAACCAAATCTAACACAAGGAAATTTTCAAATGTTCTAAAAATGTCAAACGCAACAGACACATACTTGTCGACTGTAGAAAACTTCCAACTTTACTACCTGCCGATTTTAATAACAACCGGCCTTATAGGAAACTCGCTTTCCATCCTCGTGTTCTGCAAGACGAAGCTGAAAAAATTGTCGTCGGCGTATTTCTTGACGGCGCTCGCTATAAGCGATAACGTATTCTTGAGCTCGTTATTTTCGCCTTGGTTGGAGAGTTTCAAAATGAACGTGTACTATTACGAGTGGTTAAGTCGAGTTATTGGTTACGCCACTTATGTGACAGGTTTTTTGAGTGTATGGCTGGTTGCCGCGTTCACGTTCGAGCGGTTCATAGCTGTGAAGTACCCGTTATTAAGAAAAAGCTTGTGCACTACAAAGACCGCCAAATTAACCGTATTAGTGCTTGTGATTGTTTCTTTGATTCTTCGTTCGCCTACACTTTTTCTCAAATTTGACGATCTCAATCAGTTGGCAGTCATATATTTTGTTATCGATTTTATTGTCACTTGCCTAATACCAGTACCACTGGTTATAATTCTAAACATCTTTATATTTAGAACAATTTTAAAATCATCTGGAATAAGGAAAGCTTTGACCCAAGAATCGAACGCCAAAAATCGCAACAAAAATGTTGTGTCCCAAAATAAACTTACGAAAATGTTGTTGGTTGCGTCAACGGTTTTTTTGGTTTCAGCCTTTCCATATTATTTGATGGCTATGTGTGGGTTATATTTCTACAAGGTAAAGTAAAATAAAATCGTTTAAAAAGTTATAATAGTAATATAGACTTCTCAAAACAGATTTTATTTATAAGTACATGTAAAAAAATGTTAAAAACAGGTTTTTTATTATTTTTAGTAGGAGTCTGATAATATCCATATCATGGAGTCGCTTTACCTTTCAATGCTGTGGATCGAACAAATGTGGTTCACATCATTCGGTATAAACTTTTACGTTTACTGTTTAATTGGACAAAATTTCAGAAGCGCACTGTATGGAATGTTTAAAAAGGAAGAACACAGAACAGTAGCCGTGGCTTTGGCAGGTAAAGTAATTATAGTACATTATAGACCGCGCCGCATTGTGTGCGATGCAATTTATAAGCTCTTGCCGCCGGGTTTTATATACCTACATTTTTTTAAGCGTTTAATTAGATTATTTTTTAAGATTCTGTCACATCATTTTTAGGTTAGGTTTAACCACAGAGTGTTTTTTAACCTCTAAAACAATGGTTCGACCGACATGATGAAATTTTAGCTTTATTTCTGTGCAGATCTGTACTCAAGTTGCTATTAATTTGACTTGTAAACTAGTATTAATGAAAAATTTGGTCACGAAAAATCGACACCAAAACATTTTTTATAAATTATGAATCATAGCCTTAGAGCATACAATATGTGAATTTTGATTGTTTTTTTAAATGTTTTATAATGGATTTAAAGTATTTTGAATACTTAAATATTTTTTTAGATATTTAAACCATATCAACAGGATCAACGGGTTCATCAAATTATCAAGAAGAATAAAAACTCAAACAATTATCATAGTTAAGATATTAAAAGTATCAAAATGTCTAATAAAATAAAAATTTAATAGAACAATTTTTTAGTTTTTTTTTATATGGGAGGTTTTCTGCACAAATTAAGGACATTATTTTTCTCAAGGTGGAGAAAATGCGAGTTTTGCAAATTGAGGAGTGTCGAAAGTCGTACTTTCGTCACGGCGGATAAAATACATTTTTAAAAACTTTTTATTATGGGTATTTTTATGGCGATAATTTGTTAAAAACATCTTAAAGCAATAGATTTTGGTGAATAATTATTTTTGTTTTGATTTTATGGCACCTCAAAGTAGAATGTTTTTAAAACAGTAAAATTGGCTAAAAATTACGCACACTTTTAATAAACTCAAGATTTTCGTACCCTCATAAGTTTTAGTTGAATTTATTAATTATTATAAATTTCAACATGTATTAATTTTTTTTATATTATTAAAAAATATATACAAAGTATACCTACTTATCCTATAGGATTAACCCACACAGAACACGCTATCCAATGGATATCCAATGGCTATCCCAATGTCCATATAACATCCATGCCTTTTACGATATCCATTGGATATCCAATGGATATCCATACTAGATGTTCAAAAAAAAAACAAAAACATTAAAAATATTTTTTTCTTTTTTAAAATAGCCCCTTATAGGATAAATTTATGTTATGATTAATAAATATGATTTAAATCGTTATTAACCCAATTTCAAAAAAGTATCTCTAATATATATCCAATGGATAACTAATGTATGTCCAAAGTATATCCACTGTACATCTAATGTATATCCACTGGATATCCAATGGATATCCATACTGGATGTTCAAAAAAACAAAAACATTAAAAATATTTTTTTCTTTTTTAAAATAGCCCCTTATAGGATAAATTTATGTTATGATTAATAAATATGATTTAAATCGTTATTAACCCAATTTCAACAAAGTATCTCTAATATATATCCAATGGATAACTAATGTATGTCCAAAGTATATCCACTGTACATCTAATGTATATCCACTGGATATCCAATGGATATCCATACTGGATGTTCAAAAAAAAACAAAAACATTAAAAATATTTTTTTCTTTTTTAAAATAGCCCCTTATAGGATAAATTTATGTAATGATTAATAAATATGATTTAAATCGTTATTAACCCAATTTCAACAAAGTATCTCTAATATATATCCAATGGATAACTAATGTATGTCCAAAGTATATCCACTGTACACCTAATGTATATCCATCGGATATCCACTGGATATCCGATGGATAACTGATATGGATATCTTGTATATGGGTTATTCTCAAAATAACTACAATCTTTGAGTGACGTGTGTTTTTTTCTCCCATATTAAAAAAAAATGGTAAAAATAAGTAACATTTTTTAAGTACACAACGTTAACTAACAGTACTTAAAGTAAAAAAAATAAGAAAAAAAATACCGCCCAAAAAACTGATCTGAATAGAGATATTGTCCTTTCCGTGGAACGTGACTATATCGTGTTGGTAAGTTTCAGTTAATGTAGTGAAAAGCCTGCATATTAAAAAAACCTAAAAAATTGCCATTATTATTAAATACCCCAAAAATACATAGATATGGTTCATATTCCTTTTTATTCTTTTTAATTTAATATTGTAGTTTAGTCATTTATACGTTACCAGTTTCGATCCATTCCGAGGACTTATTTGTAAGTGCAAAATTTCAAAAGTATTTCGCGCCACTCACGTCAACCGTCATTAAAAAACCTGTCATTTGTTATTTAAGTCGCCCTTGTCAGTTCTTTTTTGAAAGGTTGTAAAGAAGCGTTCATGTTTATGTACGAGGCTCCAGTGTAGAAGCATAGGCTGTCCTCTCTGTTACAATTATATTTCAAACAGTAAGTATTGAATTATTTTCTAATTATTGTCATTATTATTGTCAAAGTTTTTATTTTTGGCACAATGTCATGACAAATGCGAAGGCATAACCTAAAATTTACCTTTCTTATAGAGAATAATATGATTTATTATTGTCATTATTATTGTCAAAGTTTTTATTTTTGGCACAATGTCATGACAAATGCGAAGGCATAACCTAAAATTTACCTTTCTTATAGAGAATAATATGATTTATTATCTATGGAATAATATACATAGATGTCCATTCAGTGGACGTCTTTTCTGTGGACATAATTTACCCATAAATAGAAAAATTAAGGTTTGCATGCAATATCAATCTTATTTTAGTTTAGGATTTAACTAAAGCTTTACAAAAATGCTCTTGTAATAATATTACCAAACTTTTTAGTATTAAAAAAATAATAAACCGAAAGTGTAGTTATTTTGAGAATCACCCATATATACTTGTATGTATACATGTGGGATTTTGTAATGGTTTAAACTAGCATATGTAAAAAAAACAACTTTACGGTAAATTGATTTTTAGCCAAGAGCTACGAAATTTTTAATTTTGAAATGTTCACTTTACCCAGATAATAATATTTATATATTAATAATATTATTTCTGTTAATAATATGACTATGACAGTCTGCATTGCAGACTCTGCAATACAATAAAAAATTACTTAAAAAAGTCCCTTTTGTTTATTATTGTATTTCATAGTACTAGTAGTACTGTACTACGCACGCGCTGAATTTGAGAATCTTCAGTGTTGCCGGTTATAAGCAAAATAACTAAACGAAATATATTTCCGTACTTTATTAAGTTTTAATAAATAAATTAAATAAATTTAAAATAATTATTCACCACATTTATATCAAATAGGTATACTAGGTATACTAATTAATTAAGTATTAAAGATTTAATAATATAACCGCCATTTTGATGAGCTTTCTGAAATTATTTAAACGTCTGACAACACTGCCGGCGAACACAGAAGATAAAGAAGCGTCCTTTTTCTATGGTAGCGTCCGTTAAATATGATGCCATGATTGTTAGGTACATATGCATATGCAAAGGGTTTTCATGTTTATTTGCTTCATTCCACAGATTGTAAAGGTTCATTCGCCATCATTGCTATTTGTTATATGTTTTTCATAAAGTTTATTGCCAAGTTATTGTTTTTGTGGTTATTTGTTTGAGGTCTATAGTGGTAAGTGAATATTTTATTAATTTTCTAATCATAGTTATCATTTTAAATTGTATTGGTCTAATACAATTTTAAATTAAATAGGTACCTATATTTAAGTGCAATTTATAAACTTTCGGTTAGCATTGAAGGTAAAACATTAAAGGTGAATAGGTACATGCATGCATTTATATACTGTACCTTTATTTGCAAGCTATACCTACATAGGCTCGAGGGTAACAAATGGGCTGATGGATTGGCCAAATTTTGGGGATCATAAGGAGACAGGTGAAATAGTCCCTAAATGATTAGGCTGATAAAAAGGCAAATGACAGCTGGAGGAGTGATGGCAAGCCAGAGACTTCACTTCTTTAGTTATATGTAGTTTTCTGTTCTATTTTATGTTTTCATAAAAATAAATATTTAAATTAAAGAATAAGACTTTTATTTTAAAACCCAATGTTATTTATTGAAAAGTAAATATCCATTGATTCACCATATCCAATACAGATAACAACCATATTGCATACAATACTATATCCACTGGGTATCCATTGGATATCCAAACTATGTCCAGGAGGGTCGGACATTTATATATCCAATGGTTATCCATTGGATATCCATACAATCTCCATATTGAATACAGATTACAACCATATTGCATACAATACTATATCCACTGGGTATCCATTGGATATCCAAACTATGTCCAGGAGGGTCGGATATTTATATATCCAATGGTTATCCATTGGATATCCATACAATCTCCATATTGAATACAGATTACAACCATATTGCATACAATACTATATCCACTGCAGTGGGTATCCATTGGATTTCCACACTATGTCCAGGAGGGTCGGACATTTATATATCCAATGGTTATCCATTGGATATCCTATGTATATCCTGGATATCCATAAAAGAAATCCATTGGATATCCATTGGATGTAATTGTTCCGTGTAGGAATAATTAATTACCTATTCATAACAAAATATTAGGTATTAATTATTAGAAAATCCTTTGCTATGGAAAAATATTTTATAAATTAATTAGTTATCCCTTGTTTTGCATCTTTAAAGGTAAAACATTTTTCGATCATTTATAAGGTAATAATATTTTACTATATGTAATTTAACTTAGAGTATTGCATTTTGTGATTTTTCAAAATGAGTACTTTCTGCCTTTCTTTTTAGTTTTAAACAGAACTATTTTTAAATAATCTATTTTCTGAAAATTTAAAGATTTTGAAATTTGGATGAAAATCAATTCACACTTGAAGTAGTTAAGGAATTATTAATTTAATAAATGTTAAAATTCAAATTATGTTTGTAATGGTACGATATATGGTGCAGTTAATTTTTAACATTTCTTAATTTATTATTTTAAGGCTTTACGAAATATGAAACTAGTTCTAAATATTTAACTTAAAATTGTATCAAGTGTGCATTAGTAACTTAATATTTGGACCCATTCTGTTTATATTATATAATTTATTAGGGCCTTATTTAACCTAAGCATTCCAGAGTTAGAGTCTTTGTCAACACGTAATAAAAATAGGGTATAGGCCGTTTGACGTAGGATAATATTTGTAAATCACTGTAAAGGCGCTAAGTGTAGAACTACGTGTTGATGTCTTTAAGCATCCCATGATGCACTAGGGAGACTTACCAATACCGCACGTATGTCTGAGCCATATCGGTAGACAGAGAAGGTTCTCACGTTTCAAATGAACCATATCGATAGGCCTGTTTTGCTTTGATGAAATAAACATAAAAAGAGCGTGTTAAAAACTTAGAGAGAACAGTATTTTTTAGACAGTTGAGTTTTGTTATTTGAAGAGAGAGTTACGTTTTACTATTTGAAGGGAAGAGTTGAATTCTTTAATTTTATAAGGGAGTGAATTTAACAAATAATACATTGTTTTTATATAAATTCAGTTTTGTGAAAGTGTTGTTTATTTAAATAGGTATGTCTTTCTATATTTAGTTATTATAATCTGAGGTCACAAATATCATAATGAGTGGTTAATTATTTAATATTTAATTTAAACTATATTTTATTATTATTATTTCAACTTGTTTTTTGTGAGAGAAATAATAAGTTGAATTATTTTATCTTAATTGTTGTTGTGGACAAACCAAATTACAAATTTATTATAATCATTATTTTATGTTTATAATTATTATATTTATATTACATTTACTTTAACATATTATATTGTAATGTAATTTTACATTTTACTACATATTTATATTTAACATTTATATACGTTATTTTGTACAGTTTATCTTATTTTATTTATTTGATAAATTGATATTCATTATTTAATATGTTGAGGCTTTGTTGCAATTTTGGCACACCAAACACTTGTTAGAATTTTCTTTTATTGTTTAACGGTGTTGGTATCGGTCGAGGGGGTCGAGCCCGGAGACTTAAGTCAATTGTCAATTGTAATCTTGCTGCAACATTGCATGGAACTTGACGGCGCAGACATAGAGACATTGCAGCAAGGTTGCCTGCAATATTGCAACCTTGTCATGCAATCTTACTGCAACGTTGCAAAAATATTGAGTGCTGTAGCCCTGATAGCAAACTTTGATTTTAAGAATCTTCTAAGAAGATATGACCCGGAATAATGGAATATTCTTAGATGCTTTCCTTATTGCTAAGAATGTTCTTAGGGACTTTTAAAATATTCAATAGATACCCTTTTAATGATGCAATTAGATTCTTAAAAGCTTCTTAAAACGCATCCCAAAAACATTTTAAGAATACGTTTTTGGAATGTTCTTAAAAGGTTTCTTATGGAGCTTCTAGGAAGCTTTTGAGAATATTCCCAAATATGTCAGATACCCACGTTCTAATATGTTGTATTCTACATTCGCAAAATTCTTCAGGAGACGACAAATACGCCTCACTGTCATAATATGACAGTAAAATGTATTTGTCGTCCCCTTACAAAAATTTGCGACATATTAATATATTTATTTAAAAATATTAAATAAACAATTTGACCTCTTAACCATAAGTTGTATGACATTATTTCATAGAAAGTAAAATTGGAAAATTTTGTGGGAAAAGTCAGATTAGATTGAAGTTGAAAATAGTTAGGATTATTATAGGTAGGTACATAGAAATGTTAATTTAGAAATAAAAAATCGGCATCCAAAATTAATAAATATTTATTTTACATAAAATAAAATACCTATAGTAAAAGTATTTTTGTTATGGAATATTGTTTTAATTTAACAAATAAATATAAAAAAAATTTTTGGATTGTTTTACTTAGTATTTAATACTATAGTAATTATAATTACTAATTAGGTACTTAAGTATACCTTTATTAGTAGTTTATGGTATATTTTACTATTATATACCCAATCAACAATGATACATACATTGTACGTCCAATGTTCGTACATGAACGACATAAGGTTCGTACATATTACGTACCGCACTGGACGTAGAACGTACAATGTACGTACATAAGACACCCGTTTTCCACTTTTTTGGACGTACACGGTACGTAGTATAGGGAGATCGAACGTACGTACTTATAGGACGTACATTGAATGTACATTTTGAGTATTGTTGGACGTACATACCAGGGGTGTTGCGGATATTCGCATCCGCAAATGCGGAACATCCGCAATGATTTACGCATCTGCATTCGCATAAATCAATGCAGATGCATATATATATGAAAATGCATACCTACGCATTTAATTAGCAGTCAAAAAAAAATAAAAAATTTCTAATACCTATATTTTAATGATAATTATCTGAGTTTAAACTCAGGAACTATACATTATTATGGATACATATATATACATAAAAGTTAGGATTAGGTATATATGTATACTATGTCATGTCATTGTAAGGAACATTATTTTTTGCTGCCTGCCTTGCTTCGGTCATTAGCTCTTCTCAGCCATTTGCTAATCGATGTTTCGGTGTCTTGAATTGTACCAATTTTACCAAGTTGAGTTACTTCTGTAAAATAAAATTATAATCATACATGTACTGCCGTACTTTTTAAAAACCTAGTAACTATATAAGGTTATATAAAAAGTAAAAAAATTATAGATACAACAAAAATCGGCACTAATCTGCAAGGCTACGGCCACGAGGAAACAGGACGCTGCTTTTACTAGCACTAAAAACACAAACACAAACCGCGTTCCACTTAGCACTTTACTGTAAAACAATTCAGTAACTACGGTGTCAACACAACCATAAACAGAGGTTTTTTGAAATTTTTAGTCCATAAAACCAAACAAAAATCCTGTTTTGGTTAAATCCAAACAAATCGATAAACATTGTCCAAAAATGTACGTACATAGAGCGTACAGAAGAATACATACATTTTTGTACATTAGTAGTACGTACAAATTAGGTCCCTGGACGTAGGGACATAATATGGATCAAAAATGTACGTACATTGTACGACCATTGCTGATTGGGTAGGTAACTGAACTAAATATGCTTAGCAGGAATATTCCTACATGAACTTTCTATAGCAATTACTTTCTTAACATTCTAAGCATATGTTTAGAGTAGACTAATTTTTACCACTAAAACTTTGCACCTTCTAAGAACCTGCCTATAGGCCAGTAAGAATATTCTTAGGATCATGCTATATTTCTTTTAAGCATGTTCTTTAGAAGAAATATAGCATGATCCTAAGAATATTCCCACTGGAAGGTTTAAAAAACATTCTTAGAATAAAAGTGTGCACACAACTTTCCTCCCTGATAGCATGCTATCAGGGAGGAAAGTTGTCGGCCCACGTATCGCACTTATATCGCGACAAAACCACAAGGATATCTCGCCAAAACAACATCTAACACCAGGAAATTTTCAAATGTCCTAAAAATGTCAAACGCAATACACGCAGAGTTGTCGACTGTAGAAAAATTCGAACTTTACTACACGCCGATTTTAATAACAACCGGCCTGATAGGAAACTCTCTTTCCATCCTCGTGTTCTGCAAGACGGAGCTGAAAAAATTGTCGTCGGCGTATTTCTTGACGGCGCTCGCTATAAACGATAACGTCTTCTTGTGCTCGTTATTCACGTTATGGTTGGATAGATTCATAGTGAACGTGTACTATTACGAGTGGTTAAGTCGACTTATTGATTACGCCGGTAATGTGACAGGTTTTTTGAGTGTATGGCTGGTTGCCGCGTTCACGTTCGAGCGGTTCATAGCTGTGAAGTACCCGTTATTAAGAAACAGCTTGTGCACTACAAAGAAGGCCAAATTAACCGTATTAGTGCTTGTGATTGTTTCTTTGATTCTTTATTCGCCCACACTTTTTTTCGCAGTGGAGACTCTCGATCAGTTGACAGTCATATGTTTTGTTATCGATTTTATTGTCAGTTGCCTAATACCAGTACCACTGGTTATAATTCTAAACATCTTTATGTTTAGAACAATTTTAAAATCATCTGGAATGAGGAATGCTTTAACCCAAGAATCGAACGCCAAACATTGCAACAAAAATGTTGTGTCCCAAAATAAATTTACTACTTACTACTTACTTTTTTTGGTTTTAGCCTTTGCATATAATATGACGGCTATGTGTTGGGTATATTTGTACAAGGTAAGTAAATAGTAAAGTAAATAAAGTCGTTTAAAAAGTTATAATAGTAATACAGACTTTCCAAAACAGATTTTATTTATAAGTAGGTACATGTAATAAAATTTTAAAAACAGATTTTTTATTATTTTTAGTCGGAGTGTGATAATATCCATATTATGGATTTGCTTTTCCTTTCAATGCTGTGGCTCAAACAAATGTGGTACACATCATTCGGTATAAACTTTTACGTTTACTGTTTAATTGGACAAAATTTCAGAAGCGCACTCTATGGAATGTTTAAAAGCAGAGGACACAGAACAGTAGCAGTGACTTTGGCAGGTAAGGTAATTATAGTACATTATAGAGTCTAGTGGTGGGCTAAACCGCTATTTTTAAGTAGCAGTTAAAACAGTTACCGCTTTTTTTAAGTAGCAGCTATCAAATAGCTGCTTAAAAGAAGCAGTTTATCCGAAACGGTGCTCGTGGGTTTGCTATGGCGCTATAGTAGCGAATCGCTTCTGCTTGGCTTACAAACGTCTAGGGAGAGTTCACAGAGATCTTTACTAGCAAATAATCGCGATCTTTTGCAATTAATGTTGTTAATAATGATTTTCTATGCTAGGATTAGGTTTAAAAAATTAAAAATAGCTTAATTAGATATGAATAAATTTTAGTATTAAAAATCCGAGTTCAAAAATTAAAATTTTTTTACTCGGCTGCAAATTAAAACTCATTTTTATTTAAAGTGTATAACATATTATTAATTAGTCTCCAATGCTGTAACTTTACCTCCGTTAGTAAAATGATTTTATTAAAATCCCGACATCAAACAGCAGTGGCGCTGTCCAAGGCCGAGTATACTGCTATAGCAGCTTTTTGATATAGCGGAATTCGAAACAATACGTTAAATGCGATCACAAACGGCGGAGTTAGGTTATGTTGTTGGTAGCAGCTTTTTTTAAAACCGGGTAACAGTGATAGCTGCTTCAGCAAAATAACTGTTAAAAAATAGCAGCTTACGCGATAGCAACCCACCTCTATTATAGACCTCGCCGCATTGTGTGCGATGCAATTTATAAGCTCTTGCCGCCGGGTTTTATATACATTTTTTTAAGCATTTAATTAAATTAACCATTGTTTTTAGACACAATGGTTCGACCGACATGATGAAATTTTAGCTTTATTTCTGTGCAGATCTGTACTCAAGTTAATATTAATTTAACTTGTAAACAGGGCCGGCTCCAGGGTACGTGCAGCCGTGACCCTGCACGGGGCGGCAAAATTCGAAAGGCAGCAAAAATCGAAAGGCAGCAAAAAGTTAAATATAATCTCACAGCATTCACCCTTTTAATTTATGATAAAGGGTGTCCCATTAAGACCGCCTATTTTAAATTTACTGTCATTTTTTTGTGTCAATCGTACAGCATTGTTGTTGGACAGTGGTCTTGTGTGAACATTGAGGTTAAGTCATGGAGATTTACACGAACGCCGAACGCATAGAAATTGTAAAAATCCACTATCGAAATGGTGAGAATTTTTCGGAAACGGTTTGAAGATATCGTGGATTTTTCGGTCACCATAACGCACCTTCTCGCCGTACTGGGGTCCGATTAATCCTGCAGTTTGAAACGATTGGGTCAATTCAAACCAAAAAGAGACATGTCCGTGTTCGTGCATCTCGGTCTGCTGAAAATATTGAAGCAGTTAGTGAAAGTGTTGAAAATAATTCTTCCACCTCGATTCGCCACCGTTCCCAGCAATTGAGACTCTCTCGAAGCAGTTTACAGCGAATTTTAGCCAAAGAACTGCATTTTCATGCGTACAAGATTCGGTTGACACAATATTTAAAGACAGCAGGCGATGCACAGCAACGAAACCATGGAATTATTGAGGACAAAATTTGAAGGCAGAGTTATCTCGCGCCGCGAGGATGTGATGTGGCCAGGCCGACCATGCGATTTGACTCCGTTAGATTTCTTTCTTTGGAATTTTTTGAAGGAAAAGGTTTATGCTAATAACCCAAGAACAGTTCCTAAACTAAAACATGAGATTCGACGGGTCATTGATGAAATTGAGCCGGCACTATGCCAAAATGTAATCGAAAATTTTGTCAAAAGAATCAACGTGTGCCGTCAGTCACGAGGAGGCCATTTATCGGATATTGTGTTCCATATTTAACCTCCATGTCTTCCCTCTATATTGCAATAAAAATATCTTAACTTTTTAAATAAACACGGCAATTTTTTTAAATTTTAAAATGGGCGGTCTTAATGGGACACCCTTTATTTTATTTATTTGTAATGAAATAATAATTTTTTAAACTTTTTTGTTAATTTTATCTTCCCCTTAATGCTACAATTGCATAACTCGAAATTTTACGAATCCAGTTCTACTAAATACTTATAAGTATGTATACATACCAATTTTAGAATATTTTTATTTATAAATGTGTTCTTCTAGCTTCAAGAGGACGATATTATTGAGGTAGGTTTTTTTTAGAAATTATGCCAATTAATGGGCACTAAAAAGTAGGGGGCGGCAACAATATTTTTGCACGGGGTACCAAAATGTCTGGAGTCGGGCCTGCTTGTAAACTACACCTTTTCCAGTTGATATTCAGAAAGTTGCAATTGATATTCAGAAAGCAGGAATTGATTTTCAGATATTGCAAATGAAATTCAGAAAATAGCAAATGTAATTCAGATATTTCAAATGATATTCAGAAAGTAGCTGATGTAATTCAGATATTGCAAATGATATTCAGACAGTAGCAATTGATATTCAGAAATTACAAATAGGTAGTATTCAGACAGTAACAATTGTAATTCAGAATATGTCAATTGAAATTCATAAATTAACAAATGATAATATTTTCATACTTCATTTTACTTATTTTCTATAATCTCAATTTATTGTATTTCTTTGTATATTGCTTTGTTTCCATGGAATTGACAATAATAAACAAATTTATCACCATTTAAGTAGGTTTATTTGTCATAATTGTCAACTTATTGCAAGTAAGGACCGAATTTTGTTCATTTGTACTTTATATAAATTTCATTTACTTAGTTAATAAAGATAACGTGTACTTTCATTCATAATCGATTTACTGTATGCAACCCCACTGTTCCTGAAACAATTGCTGCGGCTAAATTACATTTGATTTAATCTGAAAAACAATTGCTACTTTCTGAATTACAATTGCAAGTTTCTGAAAATCAATTGTGTTATCTGAATTACAATTGCTACTTTCTTAAAATCAATTGTGTTATCTGAATTACATATGCTACTCTCTTAAAATCAATTGGAATAGCTGAATTACAATTCCTACTATCTGAATATCAACTGGAATAACTGAATTACAATTTCTACTTTCTGAATATCAACTGGAAAAGGTGTAGTATTAATAGGGTGTTACCACCATAAAAAATTTTGTCACGAAAAATCGACACAAACGTTTTTTATAAATTATGTATCATAGCCTATGATATGATACTTTACCTTAGAGTATATAAACCAAGGGTATACCTGAAAGTATACAATATGTGAATTTTGTTTGTTTTTTTAAATCTTTCATAATGGATTTAAATTATTTTAAATACTTAAATATTTTTTTTAGATATTTAACCCATATCAACAGGATCAACGGATTCATCACATTATCAAGAAGACTAAAAACTCAAACAATTATCATAGTTAAGATATTAAAAGTATCAAAATGTCTAATAAAAAATGTAAATTTATTATTTTATTAAAATAAAAAAATTTAAAATGGTATAAAACTGTAATATTTGAATTTTTTAAATAACATTTTAATTTTTCGATAAATTATAGTGGATAATAAATTGCACCACTTTAATTGAAATAATCTTAAATAGGGGGGCCTGGAGGCGGGTGAGGCCCCAGGAAAAACTAGCTTTTTTTCGCAAACTTCAATTGAAATTCTGTTTGCGCCAAACTTGTCTATTTAATGTCATTATAAACTATTATAAATTTGGTGTGGGTCCCATGTCTAATAACTGAAATATTGGTATACCCAAAATCCACCAGCCGCCACTGGTTGAAAATAAAAAGCAGTGGTAAATTAATTAGAAATTTATTAAACAATTAACACTATTTAAATCCCTTTTAACACTTTTTGGGGCATCCTCATTTTGAGGTTTAAAAGCTACTTTCATCACTACTGAAATTCCTCTTAACACTTTTTGGGACATCTTTATTTTGAGGTTTAGTTTTGGTACTCTTTTTTTTCTCGCGAATTACTTTTTGTTTGTTGTAAATCACGGTTTTCGTTTCTTTAAGCTTTTTATCTAAATCTGCTTCCTCCTTGGCCAAATTCTCCTTTCTGCTTCTTATTTCTTCCAAACGTTTTTGTTCTTCCTCAATGGCCAACTGAATGCCTCTTATTTCCTCTGACAACTTGCTGTTTGTTATTTTAACTTGTTCGTGCTCATTTTTCTTGTCTGAATACTCTTTCATATCGCCCTCAAGTTTTTCCTGGGCGATTTTGGTTTTCTCTCTCAACTTTTCTTCGTTCTGTTTTTTTGATTCGTTGTACTTTTCTTCCATCTCGATTTTTCCCTTCGAATATTCGCTGGATTTAAATGTTGCTTCTTCTATTTGCTCTTCTAACTGCAAACAATCTGATGTCAGATTTTCGATATTTTTCATTCTTTGTTGCTTTTCTTGCCTCAAACTTTCTATCGCCAATTTGTCTTCTTTGATGTCGTTTTTAAGATTGTTATTTTCTTTTATTTTCTCCAATTCCTTATAATTTTTTTAAATTTATATTTAATACATTATAATAACTTGAAGATTAGAATATAGATTTTAATTGAAATAATTATGATTAAGAAATAAATAAATAATTAAATTTATAAAAATTTAAAGTACTTGCCATTTGCAGAATTTTAACCTTTTCATCCTCTTCCTTTATTTTTGCCTCCAATTCCTCTATTGCAACATTATTTAGTGATACTTTATTACCATAATCCTCAGCAGCAGATCTCATATCATTTTCCATGTCATCAATTTTATGGTTGTAATCATTTAATAGAGTTTTATTGTTAGTAATTTTATTTTCCAAAACGTCAATTTTTTCATTTAAATCTTTGAGAATTATCTCCTGTTCTTCCAATGATTTAGAAGAAAGCAGTATTTCATTTTCCAAATATTTTACTCTATAAATTACAATTAAAGAGGAAACATGCTCAAAACAAACCTATATTTATTATAGATTATATATATAATCAATAGGTAATAATAATAATAATTACCTACCTATCAAATAAGTTTGTATCTGCGATTTTGCTGCAATTGGTTTTGTATGTATTTAGAGATACTTTCCCGATTTCGTTATTTTTTCGCCAAGTTCTAATTGCAATAGTTTTTAAGATGTTGAATTAAAAATAATAAAAATTTGATAATTTTTTTTCAATCGTTCATAACTTTTTACAAAATTGAACGATTTGGACATATTCTGTTTTAAATTTTTCGTGTTTAGTTTTTCTGTTTTAAAGTTTTTAGTTTTTATGTTTTAAAGTTTTTTCAAAAAAAAAAATTAAAAAAATGGTTGACCCACGTTTTTTTGAAGAACACACCTTTAAAATGCCACAGAAATTGAAAAAGCAAAAGCAATTTCAGCAAATCGCATATACCCACTCTGTAAAATTAAAATTAAAATACCATACAAATGGGCATTTAAATATGTAAACATAGATTTTGAAATTGCTCGTAATTATTTTGCTGTCACCCATGATAAAAACTCATTTGATAGACCTGTACATTTGGCATGGAATATTCCATATGCCCCAAATACATATAGCTCATGACGTCACGCTAAACAGGCATACCTTTTATCCAACAACTCTTTCTCATTATTAAAGTTTTCAACCAGAGAAATTTGCTGACATTTTACTTCTTCAATTTTTTTAAAAATAGGCGCCTCATCATAAAATGACAATTCGTTTTGTATATCTAATATTTCGTCGTTAATTTCAACGTTCTCCTGGATACGCAGAGCGGATTGATTTTTTAATCGTTCAATTTTGCTGAGTAAATTATCCGGATCTAATTTCGCGGCATCGATTTCTAAACCTTCGACCTCTTTTTCTAAAATTGCTATTTCTAATCGATAATACTCCGCTTGATCATCATAGTGACGTTGCAGAGCTTCAATTTCCTTTTCTAACTCACTATTATTATCACTTAATTGAGACTGAATTTTGGGGGTAATTTCCGAAAACAAAAACTCAAATTTTGAGTATTCAATCTTGGCATTTTCGCAATCCTTAAAAATCTTCCGACAATTTTTGTAGATATCTTTTGTTTTAGTTATAACATCCGAACTTTTTTGTTCGATCATAGTTTTTAGATTCGAATTTTCGCCAATTTTAGATTTGAGTCGCGCGTTAAGAATTTTTTGCGTATTTAACTCCAGTTCGAGGTTTAATTTAATTTCTTTATTCTTAGCGAGGGTGTTCTCTAAATTTTCGAGAGTTTCCTTAGCTTCAGACTAAAAGTTAATCGAATTTTATTTACCCACGTAGGCACGCGTTTTAAAATAAGGCATAAAAAACTTACTCTGGCATTAAATATGGTGGAAGTATGCTGATTTAACTCGTCTAAGTCCATAATGAAGGTTTTATTAATTAAACTGCCTACGCAACAATTAATTATCCATCAATTTTTATGGGGTTAGTTTTCTTTACAGCTTTTATTTTAGACAAACTTCAAAATCTCTTCAGAGTTTTCTATGGCCGCCTTGATTTAAAATAATGTAGTGTCTAAAGTGACAGCTTAAAAAAAGCAATTATGCTATTTTTTCCTTATTAAAACAATATTGTCAGGTAAATACAACATTGTTATTTGTTAAATTGGATTAATTCTCATTTAAACGAAATAAATAATAAGATAATAATTATATTAGTGACACTGTGTCTAGAATGACGAAGAAACATAACCTCACATTTAAAAAGATAACTAATCTGTTTATTTTGTTGTTCAGAATGCTACCCAGTCTCTTTTTTTAGGATTTTTGTGAAAAACACCAGTCCAATGATTAAACCTCCATAGGAGGTTTTTTTTTCGAAGGAAAACTACAAGTTTGGTACATAAAACAGGATAAATATTAGGTAGGTAGAAACTATAAAGCTTTATAGATATTTTTTTAATTTACATTGACATCAAATACCTAAGTAATTAACTGTTAATTAATTTAATTTTTGGAAACAGTTGTATTTAGTAGTACCTAAACAAAATTTAAAGTTGTTTAATATTTAACAAACATTTATTCTTTTAAAAAAAATTATGTTCATGTTATGGTTAAAACCATAGAACTTTTTGTAAACGAAACATTTTATTAATTTACATTTTTTTAAGATCACCTATTACTTTTATTTACTTACCTACATATTTATTTTAATATTTTGCAACAGTTTTGCAAATTATTTCATTTTTATCACCCTGTGTTTTTCTACAATTTATTTTAATTTCCATTTCCGGTTTTAATTTTTTGTTGTGTTTGTTGGGTTTAAAATTGATTTAAAACAAATAAAATTTGCGACTTAACTTTCTATAAAAATTATCTCTATAGAACCACCCATTTGAAACTAAAAAACGTTATAGGGACTTTTTGAATAAATAAAACACAAACTCCATTCTCTATTACTTTTATTTGAAATTAAATAATTAGGTTTTCAATTAATAAATACTGTTGTTTACCGTTTGGTATTAGTTTATATAATCCATGCTGTATATAACATTTAAAAAATGTGTATTTACTTAGTAATTATTTATTGAGGATAAACAACAAAACCTTGTATTTTTCAGATAATAAAATAATGATCAAATCTCATTATACAAAACAACATGTAATATGATATTGGTTGACATATAATTTTTATAAAGCAAATGCAATCTTTTTCAAACAAAAAACAAAACAACAAAATAATCAATGAAATAAGAATACCAGTCTTATATTTTTTCAGTTGCAACAATTATTACCAATGGACCTAGGCTAAAATTTCAGTAAAAAAATCAACAAAACCCCAAATTAATATAAAAATAACTCATGTAGTGAACACTAAATTAGTATTTTTTGTCCAAATGTGTCGGTTTCGCCAATAATCGAAAAACAAAAAAAAATAATTTAGATTTTCACTAGGTCATCTCATAACGCCAAATTAGAAAAATAATAAACAAAAATAGTTAATTTGGGGCAAAAATATTTAATTTAGGGAATTTTCAGTCAATGGACAAGCTTTCTACACATGTTAATTTTCGTATTAAAATGTTTAACTCCGTATAAATTTCGTAAATTCAACACAAAAAGTGTGTATTTGCTTGACATGTTTTAGTCTAAAATTTAATTTCCCTAATAAAAAACTCGGTTGCATTTGCGTTATAAGAGTAAAATGAATGATTTAAATTTGTACTTAATATATAAAACATACACATAAATCACAGTAACTATAATATATTAATAATAATATGCAAAAATGTATATACATCTTAGAAATAAAACAATTTCTTCCTTAAAAACTAATCAGGTTGTTGTATGAATAATTAAGAATTAATTAATATTCACCAATCACATATTGCTGAGACCAAAATCATGCAATATAAAGTTAAAAGTTCGTTTTTGATTTATTAAATAACTTTGAAAAAAACAAACGTTTTGTACAAAATTTTATATAAACTTCTGCGACCTTTGCATACGCTTAAATGGTCTCATCTTTTTCGCGCCTTAGTGTACTAAAAATATTACTGTACTTACCTAAAAAAACGAATATTAAATTTTATGCAACACAGTCTGGGACAGACAATTTTTAAACCTGGCAACCCTGATCCTTACCCATTTGAAACCAAAAAACGTTGTAGGAACTTTTTGAATAAATAAAACACAAACTCCATTCTCTATTACTTTTATTTGAAATTAAATAATTAGGTTTTCAATTAATAAATACTGTTGTTTACCGTTTGGTATTAGTTTATATAATCCATGCTGTATATAACATTTAAAAAATGTGTATTTACTTAGTAATTATTTATTGAGGATAAACAACAAAACCTTGTATTTTTCAGATAATAAAATAATGATTAAATCTCATTATACAAAACAAAACATGTAATATGATATTGGTTGACATATAATTTTTATAAAGCAAATGCAATCTTTTTCAAACAAAAAATAAAACAACAAAATAATCAATGAAATAAGAATACCAGTCTTATATTTTTTCAGTTGCAATAATTATTACCAATGGACCTAGGCTAAAATTTCAGTAAAAATCAACAAAACCCCAAATTAATATAAAAATAACTCATGTAGTGAACACTAAATTATTATTTTTTGTCCAAATGTGTCGGTTTCGCCAATAATCGAAAAACAAAAAAAAATAATTTAGATTTTCACTAGGTCATCTCATAACGCCAAATTAAAAAAATAATAAACAAAAATAGTTAATTTGGGGCAAAAATATTTAATTTAGGGAATTTTCAGTCAATGGACAAGCTTTCTACACATGTTAATTTTCGTATTAAAATGTTTAACTCCGTATAAATTTCGTAAATTCAACACAAAAAGTGTGTATTTGCTTGACATGTTTTAGTCTAAAATTTAATTTCCCTAATAAAAAAACTCGGTTGCATTTGCGTTATAAGAGTAAAATGGATGATTTAAATTTGTACTTAATATATAAAACATACACATAAATCACAGTCACTATAATATATTAGTAATAATATGCAAAAATGTATATGCATCTTAGAAATAAAACAATTTCTTCCTTAAAAACTAATTAGGTTGTTGTATGAATAATTAAGAATTAATTAATATTTACCAATCACATATTGCTGAGACCAAAATCATGCAATATAAAGTTAAAATTACGTTTTTGATTTATTAAATAACTTTGAAAAAAACAAACGTTTTGTACAAAATTTTATAGAAACTTCTGCGACCTTTGCATACGCTTAAATGGTCTCATCTTTTTCGCGCCTTAGTGTACTAAAAATATTACTGTACTTACCTAAAAAAACGAATATTAAATTTTATGCAACACAGTCTGGGACAGACAATTTTTAAACCTGGCAACCCTGATCCTTACCCATTTGAAACCAAAAAACGTCGTAGGAACTTTTTGAATAAATAAAACACAAACTCCATTCTCTATTACTTTTATTTGAAATTAAATAATTAGGTTTTCAATTAATAAATACTGTTGTTTACTGTTTGGTATTAGTTTATATAATCCATGCTGTATATAACATTTAAATAATGTGTATTTACTTAGTAATTATTTATTGAGGATAAACAACAAAACCTTGTATTTTTCTGATAATAAAATAATGATCAAATCTCATTATACAAAACAAAACATGTAATATGATATTGGTTGACATATAATTTTTATAAAGCAAATGCAATCTTTTTCAAACAAAAAATAAAACAACAAAATAATCAATGAAATAAGAATACCAGTCTTATATTTTTTCAGTTGCAATAATTATTACCAATGGACCTAGGCTAAAATTTCAGTAAAAATCAACAAAACCCCAAATTAATATAAAAATAACTCATGTAGTGAACACTAAATTAGTATTTTTTGTCCAAATGTGTCGGTTTCGCCAATAACCGAAAAACAAAAAAAAATAATTTAGATTTTCACTAGGTCATCTCATAACGCCAAATTAGAAAAATAATAAACAAAAATAGTTAATTTGGGGCAAAAAATATTTAATTTAGGGAATTTTCAGTCAATGGACAAGCTTTCTACACATGTTAATTTTTGTATTTAAATGTTTATCTCCGTATAAATTTCGTAAATTCAACACAAAAAGTGTGTATTTGCTTGACATGTTTTAGTCTAAAATTTAATTTCCCTAATAAAAAAACTCGGTTGCATTTGCGTTATAAGAGTAAAATGGATGATTTAAATTTGTACTTAATATATAAAACATACACATAAATCACAGTCACTATAATATATTAGTAATAATATGCAAAAATGTATATGCATCTTAGAAATAAAACAATTTCTTCCTTAAAAACTAATCAGGTTGTTGTATGAATGATTAAGAATTAATTAATATTCACCAATCACATATTGCTGAGACGAAAATCTTGCAATATAAAGTTAAAAGTTCGTTTTTGATTTATTAAATAACTTTGAAAAAAAACAAACGTTTTGTACAAAATTTTATATAAACTTCTGCGACCTTTGCATACGCTTAAATGGTCTCATCTTTTTCGCGCCTTAGTGTACTAAAAATATTACTGTACTTACCTAAAAAAACGAATATTAAATTTTGTTGAACACTGCCTGGGACTGGCAATTTTTAAACCTGGCAACCCTGACCCTTACCCATTTGAAACCAAAAAACGTTGTAGGAACTTTTTGAATAAATAAAACACAAACTCCATTCTCTATTACTTTTATTTGAAATTAAATAATTAGGTTTTCAATTAATAAATACTGTTGTTTACCGTTTGGTATTAGTTTATATAATCCATGCTGTATATAACATTTAAAAAATGTGTATTTACTTAGTAATTATTTATTGAGGATAAACAACAAAACCTTGTATTTTTCTGATAATAAAATAATGATCAAATCTCATTATACAAAACAAAAACATGTAATATGATATTGGTTGACATATAATTTTTATAAAGCAAATGCAATCTTTTTGGAACAAAAAATAAAACAACAAAATAATCAATGAAATAAGAATACCAGTCTTATATTTTTTCAGTTGCAATAATTATTACCAATGGACCTAGGCTAAAATTTCAGTAAAAAAATCAACAAAACCCCAAATTAATATAAAAATAACTCATGTAGTGAACACTAAATTATTATTTTTTGTCCAAATGTGTCGGTTTCGCCAATAATCGAAAAACAAAAAAAAATAATTTAGATTTTCACTAGGTCATCTCATAACGCCAAATTAAAAAAATAATAAACAAAAATAGTTAATTTGGGGCAAAAATATTTAATTTAGGGAATTTTCAGTCAATGGACAAGCTTTCTACACATGTTAATTTTCGTATTAAAATGTTTAACTCCGTATAAATTTCGTAAATTCAACACAAAAAGTGTGTATTTGCTTGACATGTTTAGTCTAAAATTTAATTTCCCTAATAAAAAAACTCGGTTGCATTTGCGTTATAAGAGTAAAATGGATGATTTAAATTTGTACTTAATATATAAAACATACACATAAATCACAGTCACTATAATATATTAATAATAATATGCAAAAATGTATATACATCTTAGAAATAAAACAATTTCTTCCTTAAAAACTAATCAGGTTGTTGTATGAATAATTAAGAATTAATATTCACCAATCACCCATGTATGTATGTATGTATGTATATAAACTCGATTTTAATATTTTCAATGCTAAAAATATGAATAAAAACAGGCATCTGATGAATTATAATTCTAGTTCATAATTAAGTATGGCCTAAGTCAGTCTCTCTTTTATATTACACTATGTATATATAACATTTATTTATATATTCACTGGGTATTCACTTCCCGTATCCGCCCCTTTTACGTGTAGTAACATCCACAACTGTTACAGTGATGAGTCTTATGCACATTTCGATGCGCATTAAATTGGCTCGGTGTGCTTAAACAAAGAACATTTACTTACTTTAATTTGTTTTAAAATTGCAAATAAATGTTTGTTGATTTTTTTTAAATAAAAAAATTGCGATTGTAATTGTCGTTTTGACGTTCTAAAATGCGTTTTGGCGTTTTAAGTACGTCGTCAACATTCTAAAAATATTTGTATATAATTTATTCACCTTATAGGGTACCCTACACGTGTTGCAATTTTTTTCGCATAACTTTTAAAAATAATTCAAAAAGTGTATACAGGGTGATTCACCTAACTTATTTTTTATTTACACATACATTAAGTTTTAAAAAAAGGATCAACCAATTAATAATTATAATCATAATTATAATATCAATGATTTTTATTAAAAAAATCCAAAAAATCAACAAAAATAGTTTTTTTTATTTTTTTTTATATTTTTTAAATTATAAGCTTTTTTTATAAAGTGTACTAAAAATTACTTGACTATAATACACTGCGCGTCAAAATTAACTTATAACAAGTAAAAAAAATCCAACTGTAAAACGCATTTACCAATTTTTATAAAATAAAAAATAATTTTAATATTTTTTTTTTAATTCAAGAACAAAATAAATGGAAAAATCATAAAAAATCAAATATTAAAAAAATCTAAAAAATCAACCAAAAATGTTTTTATATTTTTAAATTATAAGCTTTTTTAATAGTGTTTAATTTAAAGGATTATTGTGCTATTTTTAATAAAAATACCTCATTTAAGCTAAAAAACATTATTTTGTTAATTTAATCCTAATTGAGGTATAAAAAATGGTATTCAGTTATAAATAATAATTAGACTGTAGGTAAATTTCAAACTTTTTAAAAGACACATAAAAACGCCGGAACACGTTAACCTAATTTTTGGGTGTTGAATTCAGTGGTTTAATCAGTTTTTTAAAGTTTGCTCGTTTTCTTAAGATATTTAATATTTTAGTTTGTACCAAAAACACAAAAAACGCCGGGACATATAAAACTGAATTTTTGTGTGTAGAATTTAGTGGTGCAATCCGTTTTTTAAAGTTAGCTCGTTTTCTCAAGATATTAAATGTTTAAGTTTTTTGTTTCATCATTTTGTTATATTTAAAAAAAAAATAGCATAACCCGTTTTTAAATGTCTGTATTTTTTTTTAATTCATTGTCTCTTAAATTAATAACTTTCGTGTTTAAGCCGATATTATTCATATTTTTTTAATTTTATTAGATTTTTCGCATATTTCTTTTTTTTAAATTAAATTTGTTTTGGTAAATTTTATTGTCTGGTATTAGTGGGAAATAATCGAATTTAATAAAATTTGAGAATTTCATTTACTATACTATTATTTATAATAAAAATGTTATTTTAGTGAATAGTCAAAGTACAGCCTGTATAAATGCTGTATTTAGTTTTTACAATTGAAAGAATTCTTTGCTACAAAGTTTTTGTGGATAAGTAAGTATAAATATGTAGCTAAAAATTTTGCATGCTAATTTTGATTTTTATGAAAAACAACTTCCGATGAAGCTGGTGAACGATTTCATCAAACCATTATGTCATTTGAAGATCGGTTTTCTGGCAAAAAATTAACATTTTTTACATTCTTTACAACTTGTTATTTAAGTAGTTTTTTTATTTTTCTTAATTTTAATTAATTTTAATATTTTATAGGTACTACCCAAGTAACATTTTTAGTTTTATTATGGTCTTCAAGAATGTTTTAAAACAAAATTTTAATATTTTAATTTAAAAAAATTAAATTAATTAATTAATTGAATTAATTAAATTTTAATATATTATACCTACTATAGGAACTGACAAAAAAAGTTTATTATTGATAAATAATAATTTTTTAGAAATAAATAAATTTTCTACACCCAAAAATTAGGTTTACATGTCCCGGCGTTTTTTTTTGGACTTTTTGGTATTTCTCAAAATATACACAAATAATAAACCAAAAACTTACAAAAACTTAAATATGAAATATCTTAAGAAAACGAGCTAACTTTAAAAAACTGATTACATCACTGGATTCTACGCCCAATAATTAAGTTTACGTGTACCGGCGATTTTTTGTGTCTTTTTGATGTTAATCAAAGGGCTCCCACGGCTAAATTACAAATTTTATTTAGGAATTTAGGAGGTTTTTTGTAAAATTTTAGGATAAATAAAGTATGGAAATGAATTTCTTTAATTAAATAAAAACAACTCTATACTACTTAAAAAATAAGAAAAAAATTAATACTTCTTTTGTAAAAATAAGTTATATTGACTAGTTTTTAGAAAAATCGCTCGACGAGTTTTTTTTAAATAAAATTAAAAGTGAGGTAAAATTAAAACTTGTATATATCAGAGGTACATATATATACAAGTATAAATTTCACCTCACTTTTAATTTTATTTAAAAAAATGCGTCGATAGATTTAGCTAAAAAACTAAGCCAAAATCAAATGATGTTATATTTATATTTTAAGAACAAATATGTTAACCGTTTAGTTAATAACTAACAGTAATTAAATCGGTAAGATTAAGAATAGTACAAGTCCAAAAGTAAAATGTTTGATAAAATATTTAAAAAAATCAGTTTTATAGTTCTAAAGGCATTTTTGTATTTTATGAAATATAATATTCATATTCTGTAAAATAATTTTTATCTTCTCACAAAAATGTATTTTAAACTTTAAAATTGATTTTAGAAAATAAATTGTCAAAATTAAATTTTTGGACTTGTACTGTTCTTATTCTCACCGATTCAATTGTAATGTGTATCTTAATACTTAAAAATCTCATAACAAAATATGAAGTTTGCAAAATACAGCAAAACATTTTTTAGATTGTTTACTATTTTAGCTCTCATTTAAAAGAAATTTAAAAATCCTTTTGTTTGGTATATAACACGGTATATTTTTGACTAAAAAACGAAATATCGTTTTGGTTGTGATATTATATCATTTTAAAAAGAGTTTAATAGAATAGAACCTAAAAATATACAGTGTGTCGCATTTAAGATGAAGACACACCCATATTTTCGCTATTTCAAGGAATAGAGATTTGAATTTTTTCACATTCATACAAGTTGGTGGGTCACATTTTTTAAGATACTCAACTGAAATCTGAACCTTAAACTTGGCCTACTACGAATTCACAAACGGGGCCAGTTGTCGATATTTTGCTTCGCGTTAGAAATATCGAAAAAAATTATTAGAAAAAGTTGTTCAGAATATTATTCTAACCTCGTATACCGATTTTCATAGCAAAATTCGCATTTCTAATTTATTTATTTTTATTAGTTTTATTATTGTTTTGTACCATTTCCTTAATTTAATAAATTATAATTGATTTGTAATTTCCAAAAATTGTTTTAATTATTTATTTAACGGTCATAAACACTAGTTAGTATCAAATTATTACTTTCCATGGCTCCCTTATTATCAAACTAAAAAATGAACTTGTAATAATTTTGTGTGGACCAAAATAAAAAAAATTAAAAATGCGAATTTTGTTATAAAAATTGGTAAATGGGGTTAGAATAATATTCTGAACAACTTTTTCCAATAACTTTTTTCGATATCTCTAACGCGAAGCAAAATATCGAGAACTGGCCCTGTTTGTGAATTTGTAGTAGGCCAAGTTTAAAGTTCAGATTTCAGTTGAGTAGCTTAAAAAATGTGACCCATCAACATGTATGAATGTGAAAAAATTCAAACCTTTATTCCTTCAAATAGCGAAAATATGGGGGTGTCTTCATCTTAAGTGCGACACACTGTATAATTTTAAATTACTTTTTAAAACAGAATTTTTTTTAGCACTACCTTAATTAAACGCAAGTCAGGTTGGAATATTTAAATTTAATTTTTAGGATTTTAGGAGTTTTAGGAGATTGATTGCCATTTTAGGAGAATTTTAGGAGTTTTCAAGATTTAAGTAAAATTTTAGGAATTTTATGAGTTTTAGGAGGTGTGGGAGCCCTGCTGTTAATATCTACGCTCAGCGTTTTACTGCAAACGGGAGTGTTGAACCGAAAAAAAAAGCGTTTCAACTTACCGGCAACTCGGTGATTTGCACCCTCGCGTTATTGTAGCACTTCGTGTTGGCCGTCAAGGTCGTTTGCGGCGATGAAGGCGATTTCAGTCGTTTGTTGTTCAAGTTAGCGTCCACGTCGGTCTGCACCAGCGCCCTCTTGGCCGTCTTGTACCTCGCCACCTGGTGCGCCGCCGTCTTCCGCGCGTGCGGCCTCTTGGCCGAAGGTTCGGCCACCGGCTGCGGCAGCTGCGACGCCAGCGACGGCTTGCGGCCGTTAGAAGACGGGCCGGCGCAGTTATTTTTGGGGAGGCGCGGGTCGGAGCAGGGCAAGGGCAGGTTGTGCATCAGATGCGCCACCGCCTCGTCAACTTGCTGCGGGTCTTCGGTGCGGTCGTCCGACTCGCGGGGCGGCGTGTCCTGAATTTAAGAATTAATAATAATAATAGTTTATTAATCCACATTTATCACATTTACAGGACATAGGACAAGTCAGACATTCTTAATTGCCAAAACAAAACAAGAACAAAAAAGTGTATATATATATATATTAGGGTGTTTCAAAAAAATCGACTTTTTCTTTTTCTTCAAATGGTCAGCAAATTCTTTCAGAGGATGTCAAAACAAAAACCTCGTTAAAATTTGAGCTTTTAATTTGAAGATTTAGAGGTCGCGGATCGCAATTTTCTATTTCCCATTTAAATAACATAGGAATATTTTTTTTTAACTTTGGAATTTTATACGTCTATATCGAATCAACTTATGGCAAGGAACATCTTAGATTTTTATAGTAAATTTAACGCTCTATAAAAAATGTTTTTTCAACTTTTAGCATCATGTAGTAAAAAAATCACATATTTATATCTGAAACATAGGAAGTGTTGTAAAAAAAAAACAAAAAAACAAAAAAACGTCACTTTTGTCCAAAGCCTACTACAAAGTTTTAATGAAAATATGAGATGTGTATAATTTGCAAAGTAATTTATTTATAAATGCATTTTTCTCGAAAATGGTGCATCTGAGCAATTCAAATCAAGACTACCTATTTTTCGTAAAAAACTATAAATTCTCATAATTTCATAAAAAAAATTAAATTATTAACCCAGAAAAAAGTTGGGGCTATTTTTGTAACTTTGCCCCCTCCAAATGTTACGCCTATGATTAAATTTTAACAGTTTTGATCATAGATCTAGATTCAGCATGTCAAAATTACCAAAGTACCTACCGAAAATTCATTTGTTCATGTTCAACCCTCTAGGAATAGTTTTAAAAAAATTATCCTCTTAGGCTCCTATTCAGGGGGCCGTAGCTCCTTTAGGGAGCATTTTTTGATACATGTTTATTAAACAAAAAAAGTGTTATTTATATACGAATAATGCACTGTTTAAGTTTGGCCCCCTGATTTCGGGACACCCGTATATTGATAATTGTACCATAAATGTTAAAAAAACGCGAAAATTCGATGGAAATCAAACTTTGGCCTCGAATAACTCTGGAAGGAATCAATTTATAGAAAAATGATAGGAGACCTTTTTTGTAGAGCGTTAAATTTACTATAAAAATCTAAGATGATCCTTGACATAAGTTGATTTGATTCAGACGTATAAAATTTCAATGTTAAAAAAAAAATTCCCATGTTATTTAAATGGGAAATAGAAAATTGCGATCCGCGACCTCTAAATCTTCAAATTAAAAGCTCAAATTTTGACGAGGTCTTTGTGTTGACATCCTCTGAAAGAATTTGCCGACCATTTGAAGAAAAAGAAAAAGTCGATTTTTTTGAAACACCCTAATATATATATGGCAATCCATGCCAAATCACCGAGGTTTTGACCCGACCCCCTTCGATTTCGCTGAAACTTTTTTATCATTTTCTATCCTACCAAAGACATTTTTCTGAATTTTTTCAGATTTTTTTACCCGACCCAAAAAAAGTTACGAATTTTTGAAAAAAAACCGCTCTTTTTTTTTTAAATTGCAATAACTTTTTCACAAATTGACCTTTCGGCACGTTTTTTTTTTGAAATTTTTGTTTTTAAATGTAGTTTTCAGAAAAAAATACAAACAATTTTTCGGAAGTCACGATATATGAAATATTTCAGTTTTTTCAATAAAACCGTCATTTTTTCGAATTCTGAAACCTTCGATTCTCAATTTTTTTGTCTCAAAAAAAACTTCAACTAAGACAGTATTTAACCCCACTATTCCCATTTTGTGCCGACTTTCCATTCTATTGTTTTTTTTTCGATTGAAAATAAAGAAATTTCTCAATTTGGCTTATATTTTATGACTTTGCGTTGAGGTTTTTTTTATTGTTTTTAAAAGCTCAGAAGTTGAATAAAATTGGATAAAAACAACCGTAAATTTTTTATTAGGGTATTGTTTTTACATCGTTAAAAATCTAAATATTTTAATTATTTTCCTCGGTTTAGCGATTGTTTTCTTGAATTCTTAACCGTACAATGTACGTAAATAATAATAATAATATAATATTTATTTAGCAAAAGCTACATACGAATCACAAAGTAAATTAAGATTAAAATTAATAAAATAGACAAATGGGTAAGTTTACATTTTTAAAAAACATAACAACATGAGTAATTTTAAAAATATATAAATAAATGTAAAAAGTACAATAACAAACATTAAAACATTATTAACACATATGTTCTAAGTAACATCTTAAATTTTTTAATATTATCACAGACTTTAATATCATTGGGCAATTTATTGAATTCTAAAAGACCTTTATACATATTAGAGTTTAGCATTTGGCTGGTGTTGCACTTATCAGTCAATATAAAATCATTACAATTTCTAGTGTTATATGAGTGGACTTCTTTAAAATATTGTGTTTTTTTACAGATATAATCAGGTAACATTTTATTTTTAACTTTAAAAATTAACAGGAATACATTAAATATAATTTTTTGTTTGACGGAAAGCACATTTAGGACATTTAACATAGATAAAACAGGTGTATAAAAATTACATTTTAATATTGTTCGTAATGCTCTATTTTGTACCACTTGGAACTTTTGTATTATATAATTTGGTAAATTGAACAGAATGGTGGAGCAGAACTTAAGAAACAAAATAGTCTAATTCACAGTTTAAAAAAATATCAAAACATTAGTTTATAAAAAGTGTTATTTTTTAAAAAATTCACATTTTTATTATTTTACCACCTCTTTTAAATAAAAAAAAAACAACGAACGTCAAGTATACCTACTTTAAAAAACATATATTTGAATGTGATTATAATCGTCTTTCTTTATAATTTAATAACACAAATTCATTCTTTAACACAAGTTCATTACCATCAGTCACTGAACATCCACCATAACCTTTCGTACTTTCTTTATGTTTTTTTATTACCATAACCTTCCGGACCTTCTTTAATGCAAGTTCATTCTTTAACATAAGTTCATTCCTTAAGACACAACATTGTACGGTTAAGAATTCAAGAAAACAATCGCTAAACCGAGGAAAATAATTAAAATATTTAGATTTTTAACGATGTAAAAACAATACTTTAATAAAAAATTTACGGTTGTTTTTATCCAATTTTATTCAACTTCTGAGCTTTTAAAAACAATAAAAAAAACCTCAACGCAAAGTCATAAAAAATAAGCCAAATTGAGAAATTTCTTTATTTTCAATCGAAAAAAAAAAACAATAGAATGGAAAGTCGGCACAAAATGGGAATAGTGGGGTTAAATACTGTCTTAGTTGAAGTTTTTTTTGAGACAAAAAAATTGAGAATCAAAGGTTTCAGAATTCGAAAAAATGACGGTTTTATTGAAAAAACTGAAATATTTCATATATTGTGACTTCCGAAAAATTGTTTGTATTTTTTTCTGAAAACTACATTTAAAAACAAAAATTTAAAAAAAAAACGTGTTGAAAGGTCAATTTGTGAAAAAGTTATTGCAATTTAAAAAAAAAAGAGCGGTTTTTTTCAAAAATTCGTAACTTTTTTTGGGTCGGGTAAAAAAATCTGAAAAAATTCAGAAAAATGTCTTTGGTAGGATAGATAATGATAAAAAAGTTTCAGCGAAATCGAAGGGGGTCGGGTCAAAACCTCGGTGATTTGGCATGGATTGCCCCATATATAAAATTTAGAGTAGAATACAAAAAGTTTCAGAAATACAGTTTTTAGAAAATACAAATTTATACACTAAAATTGTTACAATGCAAATATTCTTCAACACTATAAAAACTATGTTCCTGTAGTAATGTTTTTATACAATATTTAAATTTGTTTAAAGTAAGTCTTTTAAGTTTCCTTGGTAGCTTGTTGTATATACAAATACATTGATATTTTGGACATTTCTTATATTTACTTACTAGATTACAAGAGTCTGGGATCGGAGCCACGATGCAGCCAGTTTGATCCGCAGTGTTGCCAAATCGTGCTTGCTCCATAATTATTTGACGCGTTTTACAAATTATCGTAATGAAATGTTTCTTTATTACATAAATTTAATAATAGAACAACAACATTTTTGGTGCCTATTGTATTAAGTTAAAAAACATCAACGGATCAATCATCGTGGCTCCGATCCCAGACTCTTGTTTGTGCCTTCTACTAAAGCTACGTTTACACTTTGTAATTTAAAAATTATCGACTTACATTTAAATGTAAAGTTATAAATTTTGTCTTAAAAATGTATCACTTTAAAATTGTTAAAAATAAAAATTTTAGTTTAAAATTGTAAAGAGTCATTTAAATGATAGTCGATAATTTTTAATCCAAAAATTACTACTTTAAAATTTAAAACTTACATTTAATGTAATGTGAGAATTTTTGTATTAAAAATGTATCAACTATTATTTAAATGATTCTAAAAATTTAAACCAATAATTTTGTAGAATAAAATATTACAACCAAAACTTTTAAAAATCAATATTTTTAAACATAAATTTTTACTGTTGCAGTTTATATTTGAAATATTTTTTGATTATCAATTGTTTTGAGTTTAAAAAAATTTAACTTTATAAATTTCTGTTAAAACATAATTTAAGTGCTATGCTATTCTTTAAACTTTTATCTAATAAATGCTAAAATGGCGTGCCATAATTCTGAAGGTAACTACTAATTCCTTGGGCAGACTTCTGAAATAGTTTGTTGCAAATATCATTAAGTGTGGTATGATATTCGACAATGCCCAATAATAGAACTCTTGTTTTTACAGTATTAATGTTAATTGTCCAAAACCTATAAACTGTCTACTTTACCCTACGATTAAAAAATATTTAAAAATCAATAAAAGCTTTTACTACTGCTACATGGAGAGAAACGTATAATGCTGATTACAATAATTATAATACCCTTTACTATAATTTGTATTACTAGTTGGGACAACTATCTTGTATATTGCCAGATACTATGCATATTTAGTAATTTTTAAATATCCATGTATGTTAAACCTTAAGGTAAAATATTATTATTCTTAACCAATTTTGTTTTTTATTACGTTGCCATTTTAAATATAACATATTTTAAAATCGAATATTTTTATATGTTGGCAATTAAAAATTGTAACATATTTATTGTACTTTTTAATATACAAAAATTTCATGAGAAAAAATTGAACCTACACCTGTGTCAACACAACACTGTCGAGCAACCTGTAGTAGTGGAACACACCCAAAACAAAGAAATACCTGAGCTTATACGAGCCCTAACCACATAATGTTCAGACACTTCATAATTTATACAGAAATTTTTTTCGTGAATACTATCTCAAAATTATTAGAAGTTATGAAAAATTCAGCTTATTTTGGCATATACCCCTCGAAGCGATTTTTATTTTTAAAAAGTTTACCTTTTATTTTTAGCTTTTAAAAAAAGGCTAACTTTTTAACTTTTTTTTGCATGAGTAAAAAAAGTTATAAATTGGCCCATTAAAAAGAACATAAAATATTATACAAACCCTGAAAATTTGGTAAAAATTGTATAAATAATAAGAAAGTTATAGCGATATATATATCTGCAAAATCTCCCGTTTCCTAAGAAAATTGCAAAAACTCTTTAAAAATAGCATTTTTAAATTACTTATACTTTTTTATAACTTATTTATTTTTTACCAAATTTTCAGGGTTTGTATAATATTTTATGCTCTTTTTAATGGGTCCATTTATAACTTTTTTTACTCATACAAAAAAAAGTTAAAAAGTTAGCCTTTTTTTAAAAGCTAAAAATAAAAGGTAAACTTTTTAAAAATAAAAATCGCTTCGAGGGGTATATGCCAAAATAAGCTGAATTTTTCATAACTTCTAATAATTTTGAGATAGTATTCACGAAAAAAATTTCTGTATAAATTATGAAGTGTCCGAACATTATGTGGTTAGGGCTCGTATAACATGCTTGGTAAACCAACAGAGGCGAGATGTAAGAACATCACGTGATCCACACCGTCTAACGACGCGTCGCGACGTGGCATTTGCCGCAATCGGTACATACTATGCAACCATGTAGGTTCAATTCTTTCTTATAAGTATTACCAGTAATGGGCCAAGAAAGTTTATTGAAGAAACTAAGAAAATTGAATGTTTAAATGTCATGAGTTACTATATTGTATATTATATTTAAATATATTGTTTATTTACCATAAACATAAAAGTATCTTTATTTTTACTATATTTTTTTTTAATGTGTAATATATTATAATATTTGATGTACACCTTACATTTGATTAAATTATATAGTAAATATTACTATTTGTAGATAGTAAAATCAATTTACTATACGAACATATTAAAAATTAAAATATATATTATACATTTATGATTTAGTAATATTGGTGTTGTAATCTTTACTAAAATTGTATAATAAAAAATGGTATTTTGTATTACAATCTTAATATTGTATTGACGAATATATAATATTGTTACCCTAAAAATTTGTTAAAGTAAATTTTACTACCACATTTGGCTGGGAGCCAAGCAAAGTAAATCGCCCGCCACTGCAGTAATGCAGCGGTTTTTTCGCAACTTAAATTTCGTCACTTACCGCGTTGTTGTGTGCAATTATGGCGGAAAATTTCTTCTTCATCTGGTCTATGAGCTGCAGGCCTTCGATCTCGTTCACCTGCACGTTCACGCAAACGAAACTCTCCACAGTGCCTTGGTCGTCGATCTCCAAGAAGCCGAAGGTTCTCAGGTAGATGAACTGACCGTTTCTGGATATCAGTCTGTAGCAGGACGAGCCCCTGCTTTCCCCCCTATCGTACACTAAAAATTCGAAAATTGAAAGTAAACCTAAAAAGTACACATTTGTATTTTACGTTGCAAGGAAAAAACTAAAAAACAGGTTAAGTACTCGATTTCGATTGATTATTCTTTATATCATTGATTAAGAAACTCGACGCCTAAATGCTTATATAGTTACGTTAGTGTGTGTATTTTATCAAAAGGATCATGGTGAATTATTGTGTTTTTAATTGTAAATAAAATTCAAGAACTAAATCGTTGCATTTTCATGTTTTGCCAAAGGATCCAATTCGGTAAGTACATTTGTTTCTGCAGAATTAACTAATGATAACTTTACCTAATATAATTTATATTTAAGTTTGGACATTTTTAAGAAATAAGTAGAAAATAATTTTTGCACAAACATAACCTTAAAATCAACCATTTTTATATTTGAGTTCTCTAAAAAACGCCAACAACTGCATTTTAAACAACAAAATATACCTACGAATTCACGGCAACATAATATTACATATTATACATAATATAATGGTATTTTACCGTTGTGTTGAGACTTTCTTAATCAACGCTTTTAATAATGCTAAATGCTGTTTAAATTTAGACGACTTATTTATTTGACGATTTTTACTGAATTGAAATGTTTACACTTTTCACGTTAATCACTATTAAAAGGTGTATTTATTGTATCTAATAGGTACAATATATATTTACAGAGACTGTATGCAATTTATTTCTTCATAAATGACAAAGTTATGATTGTTAATGTACAAAGCAGCAAAATTCTATTTATGTTTGGGCTTTTTCGTTATTCATGGGATTACCTACTGTAGTTTTATGTAGAGATGGGAAATTTCCCATTTAACGAAAATTTCCTGAAACTTTTTTGTGCCTGAACGAAGTTTAAGTCACATAAAAATGCCGCCAAAAAACTTAAAAATGATATTTCCAAAATCCTAGCTGCTCCTCTTTTCAATTTTTTTTTTAATTTTTGTTTATTTCAAAGTCTACCTTTGACAGAGTACACATTTGTACACCGATTTTTATAAAATTAGAGTATATTATTGAGGAGACTTAAATAATACTTTTTAATACTGTTTAATATGTACAGGGTGAGCCAAAAATCGCTTATTTTTTAAAGATTTATCCCCATTTTTTTTAGATATTTCTACGTTTATCAGGTTACAAAATGGCATTCTTGTTAACCTTTGATTTTTAATAATATTAAATAAATTAACGCTTAGAGAATATTTAAAATGTTGTTTAATTTAGGCTTTTTGTAGTTTTCAATTTTGAACGAGTTAAAGTTTTTTGATCGGCACTCTTTGGAGATTTAAAAACGATATTTACCAAAATTCTAACTGCTTTTTTTAAAATTTGTTGAAAATCTTTTTCTTTAATTATTTCTTTATCGCAAAGTCTAATTTATAAAAATCGGTTTACAAATGTGTAGTCTGTGAAAGGTAAGATAAACAAAAATTTAAAAAAAACAATTAAGAAATTTCAAAAAATATCATTTTAAAGTTACCAAAGGGTCCCGAACAAGAAACTGCAATCAATAAAAATCGGTGTACAAATGTGTACTCTGTCAAAAGTAAACTTTAAGATAAACAAAAATTTAAAAAAAATTATGAATTTTCAAAAAAATTTCGAAAAGAGGAGCAGCTAGGATTTTGGTAAATATCATTTTTAAGTCACCAAAGGGCCCTGAACCAGAAACTGCAATCAGTTTTTGGCGGCATTTTTATGTGACTTAAACTTCGTTCAGGCATGTGTGCAAAAGTAAATTTTTCTAAAAATTTTCCAATTTTTCCATTTTTTTCGAAAAGTATCGATAATTGAAAAAAATTGTAGATACACTCACAGGCAAAATAATCGATTCACACAAATTTTCGATGAATTTCAATCGCAAATAACTTTTTTATTTGATGTCGGATTTAAACGAATATTAAAGAATATTGTAGATAAATTAATGGACAATCGCTCACATTTTAAAAAATTATTAAAAAATTGACGTACGTTTATAATATACAGGTTTAAACAAAAAGATGTTTTTTAAGACACTCTGTAGAGTGGCAAAACCGTATATTGTTCTAAATTAAGTTTTATTTATTAAGTCACATCTATTCTTTACAGTTTTGTTTTTGGTTCACCTCGATATATATTTTTGTGAAAAATATGTATTTAAAAAAAACATTGCAATTTCCAATATTTTTCCTGTATGAAGAACTAAGGTTGCTATGGTCCATCCATAGCCTATGGAGGATGACAGTGACATTTTTGTTGAATCATCCCATACTTGGACATGTCATATACAGCTTTTAAAAGCTATCAAAATGTTTTTTTTTTAATTAATGTGTTAATTTTGAGGTGTCTTCTTACTTTTAAAAATGTCTCCGACTGATGTTGCCCTTTGTACTTTACTTCTTGTGACGTAATACTGGATTAAATTAATGTCTCTGATAACATAAGTCGGAGACATATCCATTTTTAAAGTAAGAAAAATTTAAACATTAATTTGCAAAAAACAATTTGATAGCTTTTGAAAGCTGTGTATGACATGTCCAAGTATGGGATGATTCAACAAAACTGTCACTATCATTCTCCATAGCCTATGGATGGACCATAGCAACCTTAGTTCTTCATACAGAAAAATATTGGAAATTGCAATATTTTTTTAAAAAATCTATATTTTCCACAAAAATAAATATATCGAGGTGAACCAAAAACAAAACTGTTAAGAATAGATGTGACTTGATAAGTAAAACTTAATTTAGAACAATATACGGTTTTGCCACTCTACAGAGTGTCTTAAAATTATGGTAAAAAACATATTTTTGTTTAAACCTGTATATTATAAACGTACGTGTATTTTTTAGTATTTTTTTAAAATGTGAGCGATTGTCCATAAATTTATCTAAAATATTCTTTAATATTCGTTTAAATCCGACATAAAATAAAAAAGTTATTTGCGATTGAAATTCATCGAAAATTTGTGTGGATCGATTATTTTGCCTGTGAGTGTACCTTCAATAATTCTTATTAAAACGAAGTTCTCCGAAACTCTGAAACTGTAAATATTTTCAAAATCTTGGCTAAATCTTTCCCAAACCTCAAAAACCTAAATTATGCAGAAAACTTGATTAATTTTTTCACTTACTTTGTCTCAACGCGATCATCACCCAGCGCACGTCGTCCTTGTGCATGTACTTGAAGGCCGACATGCCCGAGACCTCGTCTATCATGTAACCGGCAACCAGCGAGATCCGCTGATCGCAGCTGATTATCCTGCCGTCTATGAGATGCCTGGTCACATATTCGTCCTTTGACGCCTCTATGAGCATCTCTAGGAGCGGCTCGGGACGGCAGATCCGCACGAAAAAAACCAACACGTCGTTGGTGTTTGAGCCCGTGGACGAAGTGGGCGACGTCAGGTCCCTACTGGACCCTGGACTGCTGCTGGGACTCCCGCAATGGTTGTTTATCTGCGACCTAAGAATTTACCCCGTCAGACCACAACAAATGAGGCCTGTGATAGCAAAACCGACAATCTCCACTTTCGGTCAAAAATTAGATTTTTGGCGGAGACTGTACTTCAACTAATTCTCTATAAGATAATAAAGTTTATGTGCTGCAAAAGGAGCTAAATCCTGCCTAAAATCCCATTTTAAAAATGACATTTAGTGCAAAGTCGACAATCTCCACTGATAGATTTGCAGCAAAGTATACATCTCCAATTCCACCATTAGAAATTAGTAATTTGTGTCACCTGATATCCTAACGTATTTTAGAGATTTAATTTTGTGCTTTTTACTGGTACATACTGTTAAGGTCTATTGCAGTAAATGGCACTTAAAAATATATTTAAAATAGGTATATATTCGTTTTATTGTTTTAAGAATTATAAAAAAAGTTATCTTGTTTATTTTGTGCTATAATACCATAATAAGACGTAAAGGTAAAGCAAGAAAAGGCTGATAATGTCAAAACATTGCAAGTAAAACAGTACGGGGCAAAGTGGGAAGAAGATGATGAGTTGTTGTACTATAAAAAAAAATTGAGGCAACCTGGTCCTAGATTTAGAATAAACTCCAGATTTATGTCGTCCAGTTCAGAATTTTCCCACATTGATTATATAGTTAATTTTATAACCATTAAAGGAAAAAAAAACAATTATTTTTTTGTTTATTTTTCTAAATCTCCTTAAACGTTTACAACAAAATGAGCAATCTCCAGCAATTCATATCAAAGTCAGCAATCTCCAATTTATAATTATAGATTTCACCTAAACTATGCATCCTGGAGACCTTGTAGTTGGCTACTAGACTAACAACAACAATATATCAATATAATATATATAAGAAAATTACAAATCTAGAATTTAAAATACCAAAATGAATTATCTCAATTTACTCAGTTTTAGTCTTTAGACGGGAGATTGTTGATTTTGCTCTGACAGGCCTCAAATATTCGAAATATTCCTAACTAGAGATGTAAAAAAACGGTTTTTTTTCAGATGTGAAAAAAAACATGAAAAAAACCTAGATAAAAACGATTTTTTTTGTTTTTTTTTCAAATCCGCTACAATAAATCATATTCCGTTAATAAATAACATCAATCTTAAAAAATGGAGTATTTTTCAAAACGAAATTTTGAGTAAAATGTATATTAATAATAAAGTGAAATGTAGAATATAAATATATATATAATATATAATATTACATTTTTCATTATTGAAAACTTTGACCAAGACTAAAAAATCTAATTTCTTATTACTTGGTAGTTTCCACATAAGAAACCAATAGCAATGTAAAACTTCTGCACTAATAGAAAAAATTAAAGGATAAAAAAAATTCCATTTTTTTTTCGATTTTTCGGATAGCTGTACTATGCTCCACACCTCAAAGTCCCACCACGTGACCACGTACGGAACGCAGTCTTTTGAAAATTTGGCATTTAAGGCTTTTCAGGTTATGTATCTGTCAAAGTATAGTCAATGAAAGAAATAATATTTATAGTGTTACCGCTTATGTTTAATCGTTAAAAGTTAATAAATCTTTAAAGTATCACAATAACAATGGTTGGTTTAAGAATTTAGAAATATAAATACTGCATTTAATAAAATTCCAAAGTGTAAGGTGCAATATAAGTGATATTTTTGTGCATTGGGTCTACATTTCTCCATAAAATAGTTTTAACTAACAGCATTTATTAAAAAAATCTAACTTCTCTATTATGAAATACGAATATATGTATCAAAGGTAGATTAATGTATTAGAACAAAAAATAACATCTAATTTTGTATTTTAAGGTTAGGAAAATCTATTTTGACCAAAATAAATATAGGTATACTAAATAATTGTTGAATATAGTTCAAATTAAATTGAAGCTTTTATTCTTCTAACGACAAAACTTGTGCATACCTCTCGGCATACCTACTTTAAGTTAGATTATAAGAAAACAAACAATTTTTAGAGAAACTTGCTATGTGAAAATATTTAATACTCCCATGACATGTGATTTATTAAACTTTTTATAGTTATAATGATTTTTTTATGTAGATCAAATTCAGTCGAAGCTTTTTAACTATTTGTATTGACAAAATGTAGGTACACTTTAAGCTGGATAAGAAAAACTACCACATTTTTAAATACCATATTATACAGTCTTTTAAATAATCCAAAATACTTATTTATTTTGGTCAAAATAAATTTTTCTAACCTTAAAATTACAAATTAGATGATATTTTTGATTTAATATATTAACCTACCTTTAATACAGATATTATTATTCCATAATAGAGAAGCTAGATTTTTTTAAATAAATGCTGTTTAGTTAAAATTATTTTATGGAGAAAAGCAGATATTTGGACCAAATGCACAAAAATATTACTTATTTGGCACCATACACTTTAGAATGTTATTAAATGCAGTATTTATATTCTTAAATTCTTAAACCATCCATTGTTATTCTAATGTTATAAAGATTTATACAACCTGAAAAGCCTTAAATGCCAAATTTTCAATTGGAACCGTAAAAAAAGCAATTTGAAGCTTGAAGTTTCTAGTTTTGAGATTTTTAGATGAAAAACCAAGCGCTGAATCAAAAATATTATAAGTAGTTACTTTACTGTATTTACATTTACTAAATGTTATTTAGTGGCTAATTTTAGTTCACGAACTGGATTGGAAACATAAAAAATTATTCAAATGGGACTAACCTTGAAAAACCTAAAATATGAAAAAAAAACATTTGGAAAAAAATAAAAAAAACGGACCGTTTTTTTCAAGTCGCATCTCTAACCATAGTTCATTCTCTACAAAAATATTTAAACAAATTTTTGAGCTACTAAAATCAGAAGAAACAAAAACATATTTCCCCATGTTATTCTAAGGGAAAATGGAAAAGTGCGATGAGGATATTAAAATTTAGATATAATATTTTTACAGGACCATTTTCACACCTAAAGGAAACTTGAGGGCAAAAACCATTTTGCTTTTTTTCTCAAACACCCTAATAAACATTAATAACTTTTACCTGTGCATGCCCATCATCTTGACGGTCTCGTATACGGGGGACTCGCTGCGGGGCCCGGCCCTCTTCAACTTGATCTTGAAGTATTTCCTCCACTCTGCCTCTACCACCCCCTCGGACCGCAGATAGGTCCTCAGCCGGTCGTGGTCCTCGGGAGCCGTGATGTTGAACAGAGACTGGCCCATCAGGTCGGTCTGCAGGTGGGCCAGCAAGTTTTCCACCGTGTGGGATATAAAAACCACCTTTCCCGACGAGGTGAGGATCAAAAGGAAGCCGCCCAGTTGATCGCAGACCAGCTGGTCCAGCAGAAACTGGTCCACGTGCTTGGGTAAGTCCATATGCGGTTGGCCCTTGTTATTCAGTAAAGCTACGGAAAAAGAGTTTTTTGTTCATCATATAGCTTTACCAAACATCGTTTTAAAATTTGATGTTGTAAGAAAGTGAATGTTTAAATGTAGAATCAGTTTGTATATTAATATTTAATGTACACTATATTTCAGCTTGTTCTTTGTTAAAAAAGGAATAAGCTGAACTTTTAATGGTTGTGGTTGGACAAGCGAAATTATTATTTTATGTTTATAATTATTATATTTATGTTATATTTACTTTAACTTATTATATTGTAATGTAATATACTATTTTACTACATATTTATATTTAACATGTATCATGTCCACACCTCAAAGTCACACCACGTGACCACGTACGGACTGTTTAAGCGCTCAAAGTTAATAAATCTTTATAGTATCACAATAACAATGGTTGGTTTAAGAATTTAGGAATATAAATACTGCATTTAATGAAATTCCAAAGTGTAAGGTGCAATATAAGTGATATTTTTGTGGATTAGGTCTACATTTCTTCATAAAATAGTTTTAACTAAACAGCATTTATTTAAAAAAATCTAACTTCTCTATTATGAAATAAGAATATCTGTATCAAAGGTAGTTTAATGTATTAGAACAAAAAATATCATCTAATTTTGTATTTTAAGGTTAGAAAAGTCTATTTTGACCAAAATAAATAAGTGGATTATTTGAAAGAATGTGTTAATATGGTCATAAATAAATATAGATGTACTAAATAATTGTTGAATATGGTTCAAATGAAATTGAATCTTTAATACTTCCAATGACAAAACTTGTGCATACCTCCCCAGATAGCACACAACGTCCTGAGGACGTCCGTTTTAAGTACGTCGTAGACCGACACGACCGGATGACCTATGGACGTCCAACTTTGGCCAAGTTATTTTTAAATTAGTGCCTCCCCAGTATACTGATATATCTATTAAACATAGATGCATGTTGAGGGTTAGTAATCTGATATAATTAGGATTCATGAGCTTCAAAATTTTTGTTTTCCGTTAGGCTGTCCATAGGTAATCCTTGGTACGTCCGTTAGTGGCGGTTCTTTCTGTAAAGTTTTCCATTTGCAAGGTTATTAGCTTTCAAAAATTAAATTTGATTTTTCTGTTGCATAAGTATGTTATAAGAATACTTGTAAGTGAAAAACTTTACAGAAAACACCGCCACTGACGGACGTACCAAGGATTACCTATGGACAGCCTGACGGAAAACAAAAATTATATACCTAGTGCACCACACTAGTGCGGTGCAATACAGTATTTCAATAAAAATAAAAAATAGGGCCGTTATGGCCGGCCCAAAAGGATTTTGTATTTGTTATGTTCAATTTAAATTTAATTAAGAACAACTTTGACATTTAAAGTATAATGAGTCACAGTGTTGCCGGATTAATTTCATGAAAGTTCCTGACCAAAAATTAAAAAATATCCGATTTTACCCGCAAGAGTAAAATTTCTAGTGCATTTGCCCAATAGGGCAAAATGTTTTTTGAAAAATGAATTAAATTTTGAATTTGTCAACAAGAATATTAACAGGATCAAATAAAAAAAAATATGTTTATTTAGTAAATATGCAACATTATTTACTGAAAATTTTATTAGTTAGTATTTTAAATTATATTGAAATTAAAATAATATGCAAAATACCGATATTTTATCCGCATGACGAAAATACCCGATTTTCGGGTAAAATACCCGCAAACGGCAACATAGCAGTGCAACCACATGATGCGCCACAGGAAATATTTTTGACCAATCAAAACGTGTCGCCATTTCGCCATTTCTGTTTCTCTACAAAGAACTATGTTCTGTGCAAAGAACAGTTTTAGTTACTAGTACCTTCCTACCTGCAAATTTTTGATAATAAAGTGAATCAGTTTTGTGCAATAAATTGTTTAAGTGTTATAGACAAGACGGAAAGTTATTCGTTTATCGGTAAGTTTTATGAACTAATGGGCGGCTTTTGGTATTTGTATTCTGTGGCTTGGAATAGAAAGGGCGGGTGTCACAAATATGCCAATTGCAGATATTCGCTATTGTCTCGCATTGTAATATACTATTACCTTACAGCTAATGAACAATGTGGGTCATTGTGAAATTTCCTAAAAAAAATTGTGTTGAGGCCATTCCAAATAATTGGTTAATAGGCGACTCTTCATGTTACTGGCCTCCGTATAGTGGGAATAGACTCAAGAAAGCCGTATTAATATGTGAAGAACCTGGTAACAATTGGGAAATTATAGATGTTGTGGTTCTTTCTAAAACTGCAATAGGTATTTTATTAAGCATTTTTGTTTTATCAATCCCCACCATCAAAATCTTTTCTAGATGCTTATAATAAAGCTGTCGAAAAGGCGGTTATTGCACAATCTACATCCGATATCGAGGAACCGAAAATAATAGCTCCCAAACGAAAAATCTTCAGGAACAAACGTTACGATGATGACAATTCGACATCATCAGTTGTGGAATCTAACGAGGAAAGCGATTTGGACGATTGTCCACAATATAAGACGGGTAACTCAATCGAATAAAATTAAATCATCATAATTTAGATTAAAATTACAGATAAAAGAAGCAGTCGGCGACCTGAATATCAGCCGAAACGCAATGCTGGAGAACTCAGCAAGCCTTTTATAGAAAAAATATCCAATAAGCCCGGGGTTGTTAGGAAGAAAACCTTAACCAGTGGAATAAAAAGTGTGTATATGAAAAATCAGGAAACTTTTCCGTTTAAGTACAATTATTATTACATTTCTAGATTCGACTTCAAAAGAAAAACAGGTCACAAGAGAGCGTTCAGCTAGCAGCGAAGGTGAGAAACATTCGATGCCCGATACATATCGTGTTTTCGTTTTTAGTAGGGAGTTGTATTATATAGTTATATTATATTAATCTTGCAGATTCGACACGAAGCTGCTTTGGAAGAAATCGGGTTTGTAGTGAAGGTAAGAATGTTTGAATCTCATTGAATCGCACATTAAAAAATATATCAATTTGCCAGGTTCAACTCCAAGAAGCTCCCAGTCGAAAGCGAGCGCAGATCACAATGTGAGCCCTTTTGTGCAGAGAGGTTTAGATAATTCCCAAAGCTCCAGAGACTTCTCCCTAGGTAAATATAGTTAAATTCTTAGTTTTACTTTTAGTTATGATTATGTATTTTTAGATTCAACATTGAAGGAACCAAATTCTAAAGGCCGTTGTGATTATTGTGGTAAGAACCTTACACTAAAGGTAACCCTAACATTTCCCAAACACGTCATTCTAGGTATAATGTCAAAGAGAGTTATTTTCCTTCTAAACAAGTTGGATCTTAAATTGGACGAGCTTAGTACTGATGTAAACATTATAAAACGTAATATGCCTCGAAAGGAAACCAAGCCAGCAGTATCTATTCCAGAAATTTATTCCGAATTTCCTCATCAAACCGAAGACCAATTAAAAAATTTCGAGAAATTTCTGGAATCAGACGATAATTTTTCCAACTTTGTAAGTTTAAGAGTAAATATTGGATTGGATACATTTCTAAACTGATATTTGTTTTAGGTGAACTACTTATCGTCTGTAGGGGGTGATTCGTCATATGAGAGCGTAAAAAGGTGTCTCAACAGGATATTGTCCAATGAAGTCGCCATGAAATTCAATTGGGAAGGGTTAAGATCTAAAAGGAATTTCCAGGTTTTACGGTTGTGTATTACACAATGTGTAAGGCTCTAAATGGTAAGTAAACATTTAGTTTATTTGCATACATTCTAAGCTTAGGCTAAAATTTCAGATGCTGTAAAGAAAAATCTAAATGTAACAGATAAGCAGATAGAAAAAGACATAAAGAGCTGGCTTAAGCATGCCAAAGAACGGTATGAAGGGACAATGAAAAAACTTGATAGGGAAAGAGAACATGAAGGAAACGTATAATATGTACCTAAGAAATTATTTTAGTTTTTTTAATAATAAATTCATTTAAATTTCATAATAAAGTTTAACTTTATACAGGGTGTCTCCGAATTTCATTGAAAAATATTAAGGGGTGATTCCACAGCGCATGTGAAAAAAGTTTTTAAGAACATCAGGTCAAAAATGCTTTATAAGGGCCCCTTTGAAAATGGCACTCAACATTTACATTTCATTTTTATCTCAGGTACACATTAATTTACAACAATTTATTTTGGCACACACACTACAGTTATTAAATGCAACTTTTCTATTCTAGACCCAATTATCAGGGAGTGGCCAAACAGGGGTGATGGGATACCACCCCCCATTTTTTTAATGACGTTATTGGGTATTCGTTCCATTTTATGAGTTTTTTTAATTTTACACAAAAAATTTGCTCTTTTTTTAAAAAAAATCGCTTTAAAATTTTTAATGCAAAAACAAAAATTTCAAAAGCGATTTTTTTTGTTTGTATTTAGACCTTTTAAATGGGGGGCGGTGCCCATGATCCCCCTGATAATGTCAATATTGGGTCTACAACAGAAAAGTTGCCAAAATTTATTATTTATTTTAAGTTAAAGAACACCCTGGATAAAAAATAAAATGTAAATGTTGAGTGCCATCTTCAAAGCGGCGTAGCTCCTTTATAAATTTAGCATTTTTGACTTTCTTAAGAACATATTTTGCGCTGTAGAATCACCCCTTAAATTTTTTGGATGGAATTCGGAGGCACCCTGTATTTCACATCCAGAATTTGCCCAAATCACACCCCCAAAAAATAAAAATCAAACGTCCTTGGGCTATCCTAGGGATATAGTTACAAAGCCTAAATAGACTAGACCAGTCTATTCCATGGATGTCCAAAAGTGTCCCCTTTGGAAGTCTATCGACGTCCTAAGTACATACTTCACTGGATTTAGGATGTCCTGAGGACGTCCTGCTTGTCCGGAGTGGCTATCCTACGGTTGTCCTAAGGTACACTCTGTGCTGTCTGGGTCTCGGCATACCTACTTTAAGTTAGATTATAAGAAAACAAACAATTTTTAGAGAAACTTGCAATGTGAAAATATTTAATACTCCCATGCCATGTGATTTATTAAAATTTTTAAAGTTATAAGTATTTTTCTATATAGATCAAGTTGAGTTGAAGCTCTTTAACTATTTGTATTGATAAAACTTTATGTAGGTACACTTTAAGCTGGATAAGAAAAACATTTTTAAATACTATATTATACTGTCTTTTAAATAATCCAAAATACTTATTTATTTTGGTCAAAATAAATTTTTATTACCTTAAAATTACAAAATTAGATGATATTTTTGTTATAATATATTAACCTACCTTTAATACAGATATTCTTAATCCATAATAGAAAGGCTGGATTTTTTTAATAAATGCTGTTTAGTTAAAATTATTGTATGGAGAAAACCAGATATTTGTACCAAATGCACAAAAGTATTACTTATTTAGCACCATACACTTTAGAATGTTATTAAATGCAGTATTTATATTCTTAAATCATCCATTGTTATTGTAATGTTATAAAGATTAAACATTTTTAACGCCTAAAAATAATATTATTTCTTTCGTTGACTATACTTTGACAGATACATAACCTGAAAGGCCTTAAATGCCAAATTTTCAAAAGACTGCGTTTCGTACGTGATCACGTGGTGGGACTTTGATAAATTGATATTCATTATTTAATATAGCGAGACTTTGTTTTAAGTTTTTTATTAATATTGATAATCATTTTATTTTGCTATATTTGATTGTATTTGTTATTTATGACTGTACATTTAAATTGCATTACCGTTGTCCACTACTATACCACTTTACATATTTTATTTACCACTACCATTTAGTATTGTTGTTTGTGACCAGTTATATTATACTTTATGTTTCATATTACTGTTGTTTGTTGTTGTACATTGATAACACTAGTTTACAAAATCGAAAAAAAAATCTGCCCACCATATCCCCTATTTTTTTTCTTTTATTTTGTAATATGTTTATTCTTTAATAAAAACCTAAATAAAGTGCATGATTGGAATTTTTTGAGTTTTTTACGTACTTTTTTTCACCGAAAACATTATTCAAAATTTAAATTTGACATGACTCCGCAAACGTGAATTCTTTTGTTTCTCGTGTTGGCTAAGTGACATTTTACTGCTATTTTTTGATATTTCAACAAGGTATTTTTATCATGGTTTTATTTAGTTAATAAAAAGTGTAAAATGAGTAAAAGAAGTAGAGAGTTCGAGTGCGTAAATAACCCGCACAATCTGGGCGACGTAAGTGATGAGCACGGAGAACGTTTTCACCAGCAAATGAAGGCTATGGAGCGGCGGTATCATGGCTTCTGGGATGCAGCCATGATGGGTGATTACATTTGGTCCTTCATACAAGAAACGGATTACGAAATCAACAAAAAACAAAGGAGCCAGAATTTATTTAAACCTATGCTTATTAAAACAAAATAAAACTTTCAATATCTTCAATGTTCAATATTTATTGTTCAATATTCAATATATAATTTAATTTCAATATTTAATGTATAAAATAAAAATCAATGTTAAATATTAAATTTTATATACCTAATTCAATAAAGAAAAAAAATATAAATTCTCGAAAAACTGAATTTTTCTCTTCCACTGAAAAATGCATAACTTAGTGTTATATAATGACTTCACACCCTGAATATTTATTTAAAAAACAATTCATGATTCATAAACAACATAAAAACAATTACCTATATATAATGGCTGCTGTGGTTTAATTTACAAGACGAGAAAAACATTGAATAACGCTATTTTGTTTATAGCATTCTAAAATGACAATAACAGACGTATAAGAAAAACAACTTAATTAAAACGTAGTTAAGAATGGTTTTATAGGTAAAAATGTCGATAATCAAGTTTTTATCAACATTTTAGATTAAGCCATGGGAAAAATTCTGCACCAAAAGTTAATATAAACAACATTATTAATAATTCATGTTATGTTTAAATATTTGTCTGGCATAATCTATTTAATTAAAACGTAATTAATTTAGAGGGCTAATCAATTAGATTTTTTGTTATAAGTATGTATAACACTTAAATGCTTATATATAGTTATGTTAGTGTGTGTAGGTATTTTATCAAAAGGATCATGGTAAATTATTGTGTTTTTAATTGTAAATAAAATCAAGAACTAAATCGTTGCATTTTCATGTTTTGCCAAAGGATCCAATTCGGTAAGTACATTTGTTGGTGCTGAATTAACTAATGATAACTTTACCTAATATAATTTATATTTAAGTTTAAGCATTTTTAAGAAATTAGTAAAAAATAATTTTTGCACAAACATAACCTTAAAATCCACTATTTTTATATTTGAGTTCTCTAAAAAACGCCGACAACTGCATTTTAAACAACAAAATATACTTACGAATTCATGGCAACATAATATTATATTTAATACATAATATAATGGTATTTTACCTGAGTGGAGACTTTCTTAATCAACGCTTTTAATAATGCTAAATGCTGTTTGACAAAATCTGCAACTTACTCTGATAAATTCTCAGATACGCGGCTGCGATCCTAAGTATACTGGTCTTATCCATACGTTTGGTACTTCGAGCTACCATCGGAACCAAAGATGCCAATTCGCCGATATAAGAATTTAATCTGTCTCTTCTTTGTTTTTCCGCCTGGTTCCTTAGGTGCCTATTGTTACTAAAAAAATAAAAAAAGTTTATTTTAGATTTTTCATTAAGTGTCCTAATTATAAGTTAGGTTAGTTTATAAACTACATAGTCTCAACGAATTGGGAAGCACTTATTAAAAATTCTATATATTTCACAGTGTTTGTCCGACCCCCGTATACTTTTGTTAGTAAATGAATTACGGTTTTTTATAAAATGAAAACACGGAAAAGCATTTTTAACATAACAAATTATGTTTTATTAGTCCCAGGCTTAATTAAGCATTAAATAAACTAGTCAAATAATCGAACAGTGAAGGTTGAGTAAAATATTAACCAAGGCTGAATTTCGTTGATTGCATATATATGTAAATTAAAATCAATAAAGAGCCTTATTATTAATACCCTAGTAAAAAACTTTTTACTTTCCTATTATGATAACATCAAACTGGTTTAAAACTTTTATACATATACATTAAAAGAACTTAAAAGAATTAAACCTTTACCTCCACAAACTTCAAAAACCGACTGACAGCTGTTTCGACCTATATTGGGTCTCATCAGTGTCGGGTAACAAAAATTGAGGTCGAAAATTTACATATCGTCCTGGGAAGGGTTTAACTTAAACAGATAACTCAAGTTTGATTTTTTTTTCGTGAAGCTGACATTTTTACAAAAAAAAAACAAGCAAATGTTGATAAAAATACATTGAAAAATGGCGAAGTTAGGAATTTTTTAGTGGAAGACCAAAATCCAGCTTTTTGAAGATTTTTCTTTTTTTTCTTTTATTTTGTAATTTGTTTATTCTTCTTTATTCTGACATTTTACTGCTATTTTTTGACATTTCAACAAGGTATTTTTATCATGGTTTTATTTAGTTAATAAAAAGTGTAAAATGTGTAAAAGAAGTGGAGAGTTCGAGTGCGTAAATAAACCGCACAATCTGGGCGACGTAAGTGATGAGCACGGAGAACGTTTTCACCAGCAAATGAAGGCTATGGAGCGGCGGTATCACGGCTTCTGGGATGCAGCCATGATGGGTGATTACATTTGGTCCCTCATACGAGAAACGGAATACGAAAGAAACAAAAATCAAAGAAGGGGCCAGAATTTTTTTAAACCTATGCTTATTACAACAAAATAAAACTTTCAATGTCTTCAATGTTCAATATTTATTGTCTAATATTCAATATATAATTTAATTTCAATATTTAATGTTTAAAATAAAAATAAATGTTCAATATTAAATTTTATATAATTTATATATATAATCCTATGCATAATGGTCAGTTTTATTAACCTGTTCTTTTCGCCTTGAACTATTATACCGTTGTCACTATGAATAGCTTAAAAAATTTCCAATGATTTGTAAAATATGTTTTTTAATTTTTACAAATGAATTTGTTTCATTTATTTAAGCTCAATGCCAAACTGCATAATGCCCTTATTAAAAAAATGTCACTTAATTTCTGGCTTCTTAGATCGATGTAATATGACTTAAATTTATGCTAAACTGTACTTGACCCAATTCCATTGCTATTATTCTAATTTTAGTACATCTAATTGAATAGGATGGCCTAGTTATATTAAAATATTTGCTACTTCTGGCCTTAAGAAAATTTTTCTTTTAAACCTTATTTATCAGTCGAGTTCAATTCAATTGTATAGTTTTATATAGTTTCAACAAAAACAGGTCTACTTTTGATGCATAGCAAAATATAGGTTTTATTTCACAGTTATATGTAATAATCTTTTGAAATTAAATAACAAAAATTAACCACGTTTCTTTAACCAATAATTATTGGAAATAAAATATTCTTAATAAAAAAAGATATCCATCAAGATGCCCTAATAAATTAATATAAAAAAGTTAAAATGAGCCTATAGTTCATTTTATTACTAAATTGAAATTCGATATTTTTGTATTGTAAAAGGGATCATTCCTACCACCATGAATTCCCATAATAAAATTTATAGCGATATTAAAAGAAACCTTTAAGTGTATAAGAGGCATTTCACACCAAATGAACTGTTCAACTTTTGGACTGAAATTTATATATATATATATGGGTGATTCTACAAAAGTTGGACAACTTGATGTCATCAATCAATAGAATAGGTATTTTAATATTTTTTGTATATATTTACAAAAGATCCAGGTTTTTTTAACTTGTCCACCCAATTTTAATGTAAAAACACGTTTGTAGAAAAACATAATAAATATTCAAAAGATCAGTACCTTGGCGTCTCACAACTCCTGAATCAAATATTTGAGTGATTTTATTTTAAAATATATTCAATTTATCTTAAATTTTTCAATTTCACTAAAAACTATAAAACATTAAATAATGTATTTTTTATATTTTATCATAGATTCGAATAATAACAATTTTAAAAAAATTGATAATCTTTGTACTCACTTTTACCCGTCAGTTCTGTGTCCAATGTTAAAATTCAAAATTCCTGCAAAATATTGAAGTTTAAACGTCAAGTCCTCGTTATAACTCAAGTGTTGGCAAAAAATTATCTACAGAGCCCGCCCTTTGCACGACAGTAATCTTGAAAACAATGCAAGCGGCGAAGTTGTGGTGAATGCACGTATAGTTCCAGTCAAAATGTCAGTACTGTGGTGAGTAGTCATTTTCTTACGTATATATATTTTATTGTAATTTATATAAGGCTACATGTGATTTGTTAATAAGTAGCATCCACTAATAAAAAATGTCAGTAAAATAGTTAATTCCGAATTATAATCTCAAATTTGTATCCGTTTCGTCAGTTCCATGTCGTCAGCTCATGTTCGATGTTTGAGGAGCAATCAGACAAATCCAGATAAATCCATTTTAGTGATTTGCAGAAACATGTCAAAATAAAATAATTCGTTTACTTTTGACTTATTTCTGCAAATCGCTAAAATGGATTTATCTGGTTTTGTTTGATTGCTCCTCGTTTTGGTTATCTTTTTTTCGCAAACTTCAATTTAAATTCTGCTTTCGCAGAACTTGTTTATTTAATGTCATTATAAACTCATATAAATTTGGTGTGGTTCCCATATCTAATAATTGAGATATCGGTATACCCAAAATCCACCAGCCGCCACTGATTTGTGGTATTATTTGATTTTAAGATATTTAATGTATAATATGCTTAAAGTTGCATAAATCTTATATTTTCCAATAAATTATGTATTTAATTAGTACCCTGGTTTACTCGTAACTTCCCTTGCATTCAAATTTAGAAAACACAGATATTTCAGAAACTGTTTGAAAAAGTGACTGGCCCGGTCTGGAACAGTATATTTATTATATTATCTATGTTCTCATAACAAAATACTGTTTAATTTTCTCCGAAAACTATATAAACAAAATGAGGTCAAAAATATTTTTATATAAATCATTTCACACTATCTTATTTAAATACATATTCATATATTATATTAATTAATTTTTAAAAATCATTACAAGGCAATACTGTATTAAAAACCAAAAATAGCTAAAAAAAAATCTCCTAAAATGTTTGTAAAATTACTACATTTTTACTAAGCAGTTGACAAACGTATTGTCAGTTGCATAGACATATTTAGATGCAGGAAATTAAATTTGACCTCAGGCAGTCGTAATATTTTTAGAAACATTTGTTGTGTTAAATTAACAATATAACGGTCGAATAGGCCCTTGCCAAAACAAGTGGAATCTTAGCCAACACGATCTATTTTTGACTGTAATAGTTTTTGATTCACCACCGGTGTTAGGTGTGTTTTTTTTCCAAGACTTGTTCTTGGTTTTATTAATAAACTCGTGGGTGTTAGCTGGGTTGCACAACAAGTAATGGATTTACTACTTTATACGTACATTTTAAATTTTGTCTATTCGGAAATATCTTTGAAATCATTAATTTTTGAAGAGCTATGATCTTCCGATGTTTTATGCTTGCAGTATTCTATTTTAGGCAGTTGTATAACTGATAAAACCGCCCACCGCATAAATTTAGGATAAACTTAAATACATTTCAATTTGTTGCTTAATGATAAAACATACAAGTAGGTATGTTTTATAATTTTAATAATACTGGTTCCCACACATATCCTAGGAACGGTTTTGAGAAATTGTTTACATCTTTTTTAGGCACATAAAAACTTATAGAGCATTGCTTTAACAATGAATTATTTTTTACAATGTTTTAAAAGTCTAAAACCTATCCTCCGTGACTGTTACCCTTTCTAAGTTAATTTATATGTTTTCAAATATCTGAGGTAGTAAAATCATACTAAAAATACCAGTTCACTAAGTAAATTAAACACATCCAAAGCAATCGAATCAAACATAAAATATAATTAAACATTAAAAGAAATAATTTTTATAACCGTTTATGTAGGTGTTACAAAAATTGATTCTATCCTCCGTGAATCTGTTTTTGCTTTAAATTTTATGCAACGGATAATCATTTTAAATAAGCAAAAACCTCCGTTTACGACATTATAGATGCATGTGATTCCTGAAGGTCAGTTAGAATTTATATGCAGATGAGAGTGTTGCTGTTTTATAATTCAAAAGTTTAAGTTCATTAATTTGCCATTTAAAAACCTATCCACCGTGAAATTTAATATCTCAGTAGGAAGATTTTTTTGTACAATGAACTATTGTATTTAAAAAAAATAATTACTTATTTCAAACATACAAAATCCTATCCTCTGCAGTATTTTAAAAAAAAACTATACTATAGTATAGTTTTTTTTTAAAATATATATATATATCCAAGTTAAATTCATTATATGTTGTGCTTGTTTCTTTAATTCATTTTTATTTAAATTAAATACCAAAACATGACATAATTGCAGAATTCAGCCCCTGTCATTTTCGATCGACAAACGATGCTTTGTTTTTTCGAGTGATTTTTTTTCTCACGCGCTGAACTTTCAAGGATAAAACTGAAGTCGCATATAATTTACAATCGATATTATATTTATTTACTTCTCAAGTCGATTTGAGTTAAAGTCAAGAACACGCATCCAGATATTTCCAGAGTCGACTTT